GGGCAGCTTTTTCCAAGCAAAACTAAATATAATCTGAAAAAACGCTTGTTAATTTGTTGTCATGAACAAAATGTTCAACTCAATATTAAATTCTACAGGGATCTTTGGATCCTTACAACCAGGCATGCAATTTGTGAATTAAGTTTTTATTTGATTTTGTATTATTCAAATAAATATCGAAACACGGTGCTTCGTGGTAATGCTGCTAAATTAAATAACATTTATAGAACAATTATGAACTTAAATGAAACAATATCGCAACATTTCGACAAATACATTATTTGATCTGTTTTTACATTTTAATTCAGGGCGATTTAGCCTACATTTAATTAGAGCGAGATTTTCACCCTTGTCTTGTCATTTTCTCATTGGGAAGCGCTTACATTGCATGTTTGAGTAGATCCTCTGTTCCTCTAGTTTTCATATGGATTAGCCTATAATCAGATAACATTTATTAGCCTAAATATTTAGACATTTAAAGGCTTTAGACCATAGGTTCTCAAAGTGCGGCCCGCGGGCCAATGGCGGCCCGCCGAAACATTTCTGGCGGCCCGCGATAACATCTGTAAAACTGTTAAAACTATTGCTTTGAAAAAATGAATATCTCCGTTTAGTGGTGTTTAGGGGCATCCATAGGCATAAGCGGTAATTACATGGTCCGACCGACCGATCGCACTTGACCTCACTCCCAAGGCCACCAGGAACAGTGGTTGTCTACACAGGAATAGGAATCGTGGCCAACCGAAACCAGCACCACAAATCCCATTGCAATTTAAAAGGGTATGTTGACCAAGTAATCAATATTCAATGTGACTTAATAATAATCTTAACAATGTCAAGCTTATTAATAGCCGCGTTTCCATTACCTTTCAAAATGTTCGCGGGCGCGAACACTTGCATTTTCCTATCAACAGTGGAAACAACTTAAACTAGTCTATCATTTCTGGTCATACAGAAAATAATAATGCATTATTCGCAACTACTTTTATTTGTGTAAACTCATAACAAGAAAACGTGCTTTTGTAAAATAAAATAAAACAATCAGTAGCCTAGGCTACTACGCGCTTTCATGATCTCCGTGAACTGGAGCGCGAGAACTGAAACAAAATATAGCCTATGTAGGCTAAAGCTTAAAATGTGCACTTTTAAACAAACAAACTCGAATCGAAAGCAAATACCTGATTATGTAATCCGTATGAAAGGTGGATTTCTCTCTAAAAGCGCATCTGCTTAACAGCGGAGATGGAGATATGTTTTTAGCCGACACTTAGAAAACAATAGTTTATTAATAAACAATTAAAGTGCCTCGCTGTTTTTTCAGACGCATTTATTATCATTAGCCTATAACTCACCTATAAATCAGGCTAGATCAGACACAGGCTATATGGCTCTTTTCATTCATCACTGCGGGAAAAATATAAATTCCAGGTTCTAATTTGGCCTTAGAAAAAGTCTGTCGATATTTACTTTTTTGCGCAGCAGTTGGTGAAGCCAGTTCAAATTAAAATTTTGTTCAACTTTGCGTTTTAAAAAGACAACAACCGTTCATTTTTCGTTTTTCAGTTACGGGTTAAAAAAGATAGATAATAATATGCAAATCTGCAATAATGGAAACGCGACTGACAAGCAATGATAGAAATGAATGATGATGATGACTTGTTTGGTAAGCTTCTATTTTAAAAGTTTCTTTCTCTCCCCCCCAAAATTTTCACAAGTTTTGCCAGGTTTAGCTTCAGTTATGAATTAAAATGTGTTTATTGCAACTAATGTAAACTGTAGAGATGCAACCTGGTCATTAAAATAATTTCAAATGGGATTTTCTTTTCAGTTTTTTTTTCTTCGTTTTCTCCCCCGCCACTTTGGCGGCCCTCAGTTCAATGTTGGGTTCCTAAATTGGCCCTCACCTATCAAAACTTTGAGAACCCCTGCTTTAGACATAGCCGATTTCTTATCGTGACTGAGCTGAAGTGGCTTTCGGTTCATTTTTGTGACGCGCAGTTCCCGGAGACAGAGACGACAGATAGCCTATACTGTTTTTGTCGTTAGCCTAATATGAATACAAGTTTACAGTTTTGAACGATGTAAGCTACTCTACTCTTATCTGTATGACCAAAAAATTACGGAGTCGCCTATTAAGTTATTTTAGCTGTAATAATGAGAAAAATAAATTAATCTAAATGAACGCGCCGCCGTGTTTGTCGAACACTAACTCACCATGCCAGAATAAAACCCGACTTTAGAAAAATGCATAGGGCCACTCGGCGTGGTGTGCCAAAACACTTAATTATAAACTTCAATATTTCATTCAAAATAATCTTAACACGCTTTGTGAAATTTTGAAAAGCCGTGCATGCATTAAGGCCACTGGAACTAATGAACAACTGAAACGCTGGTTTTGATTTTATTGTTTGTCGTTTAAACGTGCCTGTTGCATATCTCTATTTTATATATTTGATATTGGTGAAGTAGCCTATAGCATTGATTAGCTGTGGAGGGAGGGGTGTGGGGATTAAAATAATTCAGCAGAAGCAGGGATGTTTAGACCAGAAGGAAATCACAATCCCCCCTGGCAAATCACACTTTACTTAAAACCATGTTTTTAAAAACTCTAGGTTGTAGGGAACAGACCTCTCTGCCATGCGCGCGCACGGTTTGGAGCACAATATCTGTCTCGCATGCACGCTCGCTCTAGATAGATTACGGGATATTTTAACTAATTTGCGGTATAATAACTAGTCGATCACGAGTGGCTCAACAGGTATCTATAGATAAACTATATCCTTCAGGAATTTGACCGACCGGGTTGACACTTCAGCGTGAGAAATCGGGGGTGTGGCATGAGAGCCTGGAATAAAAAAAAATATATATATATAGCCTATATATATAGGCTATATATAATTTATTTTTTTACAGAACTGCTTTTGAAATTACGATTGGTAGCCTATTATTATACAGATGCAAAGTCGTTCTGTTGGATACTATTTTGTTTTTTTGTATTTTTACTTAGTGTGAAATGGAAATGCATGATAATTGTATTTTATAAATATAAGCAAAAAAAAAAAAACTGTATGGTGTAACAGAGTTTTAGAGCTAGACAAATCTCTTTGCAATAATAAATATAAAATTTACAGCAGACCATGTTTGTGCGGGATTTGAACCTGTGTCATCTTGATGATGAACCGTAAGTTCTACCGCTCAGCTATGAATTTCCTCACTGAAAAATACCCAAACGTCTGTTTCTGACATGAGCGAGAAAACGTTTTGTCTTTAGCCTGTGAGAGTGTAGGCCTACTTTAGCCTTTTAAAGTTTTAAAAGATTATATCTTATCTGTATGACCAACAATTTGTTGTAGGCTTATTTGGAAATTACCATAACTTGTAGTATTTCATCCTTAGGCTACTGTTAATAGACATTAGCCCCACTTACGTTTTGCTAAATGTCCCTTTGCGCCACCTGGCGGTCATTTCGCGAACGACTTTGCAATGCGACTGGTTTATTTTTACCGCGGTGGATGGCTAAAAATGGTATGTGGATGGCTAAAAGGTGTGACTATAAATGTGCTTTTGGCTTTCATTTAAATTTTGATTGTTTGTATATATATATATATATATATATATATATATATATATGTGTGTGTGTGTGTATAAACATTTATTTATTTATATACACTACCGTTCAAAAGTTTGGGGTCGGTACGATTTTAAATACTTTTAAAAGAATTCTCTTCTGCTAACCATGGCTGCGCTTATTTGATTAAAAATACAACAAAAATCAGTTATAGTATTAAATATTATCTCTAGTGTAAATCAGCTGTTTTCTGTGTGAATATATAGTAAAGTGTAACTTATTCCTGTGATCAAAGCTGAATTTTCAGCATCACCAGTGTCAGTGTCTTCAGTGTCAAATGATCCTTCACAAATCAGTATAATATGAGGATTTGATGCTCAAGAAACATTTATTATTATTATCAATGTTGAAACAGTTGTTGGTCTGTCAGTTGTACAGTTTTTTTGTTTGTTTTAGGATTTTTTGATGAATAGGAAGTTCAAAAGACTTTTGTAACATTATAAATGTCTTTACTGTCACTTTCGATCAAATTAATTATTCCTTGATAAATAAAAGTATTGTTTTCTTTCCTCCAAAAAATAAAAATAAAATTCTCACTGACCCCAAACTTTTGAACGGTAGTGTATATATATTGTCCTTGCATTCTTTCTTGTGTGACACCCCTGAATGAAAGGCTCATTAGTATGCAGACTGCTCAGGTGAGAACTGCCTAATTATTCATGAGGGGGTTGGGCCGTTCCGCCCATCCGCATATTGCCTTTGCAAACAAAAAATTTTTTTTCACAATTTAAAACAATCTATTGTTTTATGTGAATGATAAGGCAGAATGATTTTCAGATCAATTTGAAGCAAAAACTCTAGGCGATAACATCCACTAGTCAAAAGTCTTGTGGACAAATATTTAGTATGTTATTTGAGGCCTTATATTATAAACTTTATTTTTTAGTTTTTTCAATAACCACGCATAAACAATATTCTCTCAAAAATACAAACATGTACATACATGTTGCTCACATATTATGGTAGCCCTGTGTGTCCTATATAGAGTGTAATTTCACCTGTGCCATTAATATGTTTATAAGCAACTGAAAAAAGCACAAATGTCAGAGCATGCCAAAACATCTCAAGGACCCCGAAAACACCTCAGACCCCAGAGGGTTAACCATAATTACCATAGCACGTGAACACACCAATAAACACACAGTCAAACAAAGAGCAAATGAGATCATTAACAAGGTGATTATCAAGCCACAGGTCAATGGGGGATGAAACACGGGGAAAACTGGGTCAAAGGAAAATGAGCATACAGAAAAAAAAAAAGAAAAAAAAAACTGTAATAATTACACTTTTGTATGCTGAAGTGTACTTCTGTTTCACAAGGGTATGAACAGTCTTTCAAAGAACTACTGTAAATAAATACTGAAGTACGTACTTGAACTCTATCATACTGCTGGTCCAGGTCCAAGGCTTTACCGTCTTGTTTTTTGCCGGTATGCAGACTTGTGTTATCTGTAGCATCTAATGCATTTCCATTAGGATCATCTCCCTCGCCAATAATCCTCTTCACTGACGTGTACTCCGGCATGTTTCCGTTCTGTTTACCCGTCTGGTCCTTTTGTATTCCACCCATTTCTTTCTCTTTCCCAATGTTGGAGATCCAGCCTAGAAGACCTTCAATTTTGGTTTTACTCTCTTCCAGTTGTTCAACAGCTGCTACCTGTATTGTTGCAAAATCAAAGAAAAAATAACTGATTTACTGAAAATAGTCACTAAAATCCAAAGACACCTTTGAGAGCCAGCACAAACTAACTGCACTAAAGTCACTAAATGTCTTTTTTTTTTTAACTACCACTTGAATAGTGTTTGGAAAAGTGTTTTCCCCCCTAACCTTCTCAGTCTCCTGCTTGATAGCACTTGTCAAAACCTTCTCCAGGTCCTTCCTTGACTCTTCTGCCTTCTGGTTGAGCATATTCGCCTTGCTCTTCAGCTCTTCCAGTTTGTCCTCAAGAGCCGATATCTGCGCTGGAGTGAGTTTACTGCGATTCTCCTCCAGAAACTTCTTTGTGCTACTGATGACTTCATTGAGGGCACTGGCATTAGCCTGCAGGTCTTTCTGTAGAGCCTGAGAGACCAGCATAGAGAAAGAATCTTTAATATTCAGCTTCAATCTAAACAGATAAAAACAATATAACACATAATTAATTGCAACAAGACACTGTGTTACAGTGATTTAACCTCGGGTAAAGGGTTAAGGGTGTTCCTAGGCATGTAATAATGGTAAAAATCATTGTAACACGCAGACATCAGTGGCTAATCGTCTATACAAAAGAAATACGAAAAAACACCATTGTTCCATAAATAGTTACATTTAGTATTAATTATTATGAAATTCATTATTCTGAATATAGGCACTTAAACACTGGTGTGCAGCCGACTGGTTGTTAGCATGTTTCCTGGTAGCTGCTCAAGAGCTTCTCAAGTGTTCAGGGTGGTTTCTATTGTGTTTATGTCATTGCAAGCTAATTGCTAGACAGTTGTGAAGCCAACATTTTCTGGGTGTATGCTAGGTGACTGACAGATTGATCTGGGCTGCGTTTCCCAAAAGCATTGTGAGCCCAAGTTGATTGTGAAGACCATTGCCACCAATGTTTCTACTATCAACTTGATGCTTTTGGAAAACGCAGGCCTGGGTGGTTGCTAGGAGGTGACTAAGCTGTTTGGAGAAGTTGCTAATGCATGTATTTGGTTTTGTGTGGTTGTTAGGCAGTGGTTATTCCAATTTCCAATTCCAATTCCAATTTATTTATAAAGCACATAATAATACACCAAGGCTAAGTATATGGGATTTTTTTAGCTCTTCTTTTTCATCTCCTGAACAAAAATATGATCTTATCATTTATGTTTAACAGCACACCTTAAAATCAATAATCGCCGCAAATTTAGTTGATTCATCTGTCTCCATTTACATAGCAATGCCCAACTTCCTGCAATCCAATCAATTCCCGATGGCTGAAATCAAGTCCCACTCTACCCTTTTTTTCTCATTATAGAGGCTGTTTCACTTTTGCAATTGGGAAGCAAAGACTTTAATTTCATGCCAACTTTAACAAAGACCTCTAATAACTTATTTAACTGTATGTAATATATGTACAAGCATATGTGGTAGCAAGCGTGACCAGGTTGTACCTGATGCTCTTGCTGGTATTGCTGGAGGTCTCCCACACTCTTTGCACTGACTGCCTGCTGCTGGTGGCCAATCAGTCGGTTTTCCGTCTGTGTTAGATCATCAAACAGCTCCTGCAGCTTTTCTGAAAACTCCCTCTGCTTCTCCACAGCGGCCTACCACATAAGCGAAAAGTTAGAAAAGAAACCTTTTCCACAGAGAAAAACCACAGCATCAAAGCAAACACAGAGCATGTAACCATTAGCAGTGACTGAGTATGCTGTAAACATGCCAGCCATTCAAAGAGAATTTGGCAATGGTAAAGAAATGTTGGTTAGTGCTGCCTTTACTGCCAGAAAGCATATCCACATATAATGAAGTTTAGGTCCTTTGGTAGTAAGAGCTGAATAGGTTCGGGCAGCCTGAAAAATGCAAACAGGATCAGAAGAGGGTAAGTTGGTGGCAGTGATCAAGCCATGGCTTTCTGTGTTGTAAATAGAACAAATAAATTCTGATTAAAATCTGCAAAACACAGAGCAATATATTGAGCATCACACACACACACACACACACAATGCATTCATGAATTGTCTTGAAAATATCATAATAAAACTCTTTTGAACGACCCAATGAAGAAAAAATTTGGGGGGCTTATTGGGGAACTAAACTACAGTACAACAAAAATAACACAAAATATTCATTACTCATCTAAAAGGGTGTATCCATGTTTTGGTCCGAAGAATGAACATTTTTTATTTAAAATGGCTCTAGCATAGCAAGTAGCAGATCATAGTTCATAGCATAAACTAAACACTATCTTTATTTTTGCATGGCTGACACCGCCGTGAGTGAATGGGTGAATGCGAGGCAAAATGTAAAGCGCTTTGGTGGCCATTGGGTCTGTGAAAGCGCTATATAAATGCAGTCCATTTACCATTTTACAAGAATGCCAAATTATTGAAAATTTCCTATACCAGTTTCTTGTTTCAAAAGGAAATATATTGGCGCAGGAAAGAAAACTGCACACAAGTCACTTTTTGGGGTCCCTTGGGTTAATAGGGCAATAGAGTTTCCCAACACTTCACGTCAAAATACACCACACATCAAAGCAACAACTTTTAGAAGCATCTCCATGCATTTTCATGTGATCAGGTAAATCTCAACGGTCAGTGTGATCTCTCTCAAACCTGCTGCTGACTCTCATCCTCACGGATCTCCAAGTGGACCTCCAGAGTTTGTCTCTGAGTGAACACTCTGTCCATTAGCTCTTTAACAGATCTCTGGGTAGTGCTGAGAGCCCTTAGAAGGTGTCTGCTGTGAGCAGGACTCAGGAACTGAGCATGCTCAGAAATGAAGTTTTGGATATCAAAAGCAGCATCTTCCAGGAGCTGTCGGGTTCCTGACAAGTCCTTCTCTGTGTCCTGAATAAAGAACACTAATTAAAACTGTTCAGGTAATGACTTCATTTGATGTGGAAGCTAAATAGCAGGATATAATGTCACACTGTATTGAAACCATTGTGTTTTGGGCGACTTTATTAATACGTTCCAAAACAACATACCTTAATTTGCTGAATCTTGATCTTAATTCTTTCTGTGTCATCAGTATCCATGATATCAAGCTTAGACACCATCGCAGAATCACCTTGTATACAAGCTGATATCTTATCAAGAGAGCTTAGCAATTCCTGATATGAGCTTTCCAAATGGATCTGTAACCCATATATGAAAAAGTGTAAGATAATATCATTTGCATTATTCTATATTTACTCTTGCTTTCTTTTCATAAGCCTTCACTAACCTTCACCGTGTCAGTGGCTAGTAGAATATCATTACTTCGCTCAGCTGACAAGTAGCAAACATCTCTGTAAGCATTCTGTATATCTACATAGACTGCAGCCAAATCTTGGTGGATTTGCATGGAAATGAGTTCATCAGCAGAATTCAGAAGTTGCTCTGCTACGATCAAATCTGCTGTTAGTATGTCAGGGAGAGCAGCAATCTGTCTTTCCAGAGACTAGAAACAGAGTGTGTGGAAGTAGTTGAGGAAAAAAAGAAAGGAATTGAGAAGAAGAGTGACAGAATAAAAGGAATAGGCAACAGGCTACAGTAGAGATCATATGTAGAAAGAAAGCACTGGACAAATATTAGTAAAAAGCAGGAGTATCTGGGGTCTGCGGGTCATGAGAAAGTGGAGAGAGAGCCTTTTTATTTTTTTTATAAGTGACAAACCTGAACTTCCTCAAACTGACAATGCAAGCCCTCAATGTCTTCTGCTAAGGGACCATTGGCCTGCAAGTCACTTCTTATATCTTCAAGAGTATCGCAATGATCCTGAAGTCTCGCAACACACTCCAAGTAATTCTGGGTTGAATATCTCTGCAAAAAGTACATAATTATACTTACACCTTTATCAAAAGATATCAAAACATGCACTTGGATGATGCAGAATTGATAATGCTTTGGAAATTAGCATCTACCTCAGCTGAGAGTAGTAGCAATACTCACTCTCGGTTTGACTTCTTCTGTCTGCCTTATGTTTGGACCATCTGCCACAGAGACCTGGTAGTTAGAGTTGGTTGACTGAAAGACATCATCTGCAGCAGTATCATCTGTGGTTGAGATCTTGTTTTTAGCATCCATGCTTTCATCTCTAAGGACAGTGTCTCCCAAAAGACCCACATCCTCAAGCATTTCTTGATCTCCACATGTGGAGATCCCCTGAATCATATCCAGTATATCAGTCTGACACGTTATTCCATCATTACTCTCATCAGATGTACAATTCTGAACTTCTCTCGGATCAAGTCCTTCATGTGTTTTCAAATCCAGGAGGATATCTGGATCCCCGATTCTCTCATTTGAGCTGGGATGATTGGCTGGAGAGGATCCAGAGGGGTGCTGAATAATTTCAATAATGCTATTAATGGCTTGACATTTTTGTTTTTGAGTTTCGTCCACACTTACTCCATCCATCTTCGTTTGGATGAACTCATTTGAAAAATCACTGCTTCCCATTGATTTTGGAGCACTTTCATCTTTGGCCCTTGCCATTTGAGGTAAATGAAGGTTATCTTGGAGTACAGCTTCAGCAAACACCGTATCTCTACCCTGAGACTGTTTGAAGATGCCTGCCTTTTTCTCACTATTCTGATCAAGCATGGCTCTGACAGAAGGACTTGGATTTTGGGGGTCAGTCTGCAATTCATTGGATTCTGTGAACATCTCTTCTGAACAATGACCTGAAGTTGACTTTAAAGTTTCTAGCAAGTCTTTTACATGTTTATCATTGTCACTTGTAAAGTCGGAATCAGCTGATCTGGCTATTGAAGTGTCCTTTGAGGCTACTTCATAACAAAACTTGCTTTGCTCGCTTGGGTGTTGTATGTTATGCGTACCTCCGCTTGAATCATCTTGACTAGAGTTGATAGTAATTTCAAGAGGTAATGGCTTGGAATTTACTGTTGATCCAGCTAAATCCTTCAAGTTGAGTTGAAGTGTGTTCTCTGATCCTTTGAAACCTATAGAGTTTTCAATGTCACCATTCTGTTCTACATTACAGTCAATACTGCTTTCTGTACAGATCACACTGGGCTCAGGTGTTGTTATTGGTGCATTTCGGAACATTTCTGACATGTCCCCATAACTAACCGACACATTTACTCTGTTCTCTGTGCAAAACGGTACTGGATCCTCATCAGAATGCTCATGATCTGGATTCCCATTTATATTATTGGAGTATTCAGCTTCATATGATGCATTGGTCTGAAATGGTATTTCCTCTTTCTCATTCAGCAGATTTTGAGCTAGTATGCGGTGACCATCAGTACTTAAATTCACCTCTGTTGCAGTCTCCATTGGTGACGGGACACTTGCTCCACATAAAGACAAGGTTGGCTGTGCTTCTGCAAGTGTTTTAACTTGTGCAACATCTTTTACCATTGGTAGCAAAGTGCTCAAGCTCTCAGAGAGCCCTTTGTCAAAATATGTGTTTGTTATTGCAGACTCCACATTGGACCTGTTGAATTCCTGTTCAGGATTAAGTACACTCTCTGATTTTCTTTCATCAGAGCAGACATCACTTTGTGACGAACATGATATCCCAGAGTCACTCTGTACTGGGCTAACAACTTGACTGGCTATAGTCTCAAGATATGCCCCCTCCCTGACACACGATGAAGGACTTCCAGTTTCACAAGAAACACCAACGACAAAAGTGTCAACATTGTTATTTGGCCTTTTTGAGTAATTTCCTTCCAAAGTGAAAATGCTTTTTCTTTCATCTGTAGTGCTCATCTCATTGTTAGTATCCATAGTCTTGAAATTGCCACATTGTACATCACGATCCTCCCCTATTCCAAGAGTTTCAGATACATCATCATACACATTATCTTTTGTAGAAATTGCTTTAGATGGAACGTCACAAATGGTGGGTAACAGAAGATCCTGACTACTGCTCACACCTGATATGTCTGTAGATTCATGCATGGCTTCATCTGATCTTGAGCTTATTTGACCTCTTTTTGCTGAGTCAAGCTCCATAATGTCTACCCTTTCATCCTGCTGTGAATGTTGCATTCTCTCAGCCTCTTCATCATCCAATATTCCCGACTGGAGGGCATCATTTACACTGAGCACACACTTTGCCTCTGGATCAATGATGGCCTTGCTGATTGCCTCTGAACAGAGAACACTTCTGCTAATATCATCAGTAATCAGACCTCTCTCTAAAGCATCACAAACGCTAATGGTTTTTCTAACTGCTGCATCATAGAAACCACCCAAAAGGTTCTGCTTTTCCATGATCTGTAGTGCTACCTTACTTGAGACGCAGCCTTTGTTGACAGAAGTGTTCAAAACTGACAATGAAGCACTTTCGTTATCTTTCAAACCATCCCCTTGAAGCTGCAATGCAAGTACCTCTAAGACAGTCTCTTCATCAATAAGGCCTTTATCAAGAGCACCTTGAAGGTCATACCGTTTTCCAGAGGTGACATCTAAAATCCCACCTTCCTCTACTTGTGCCCTAAGAAGATGGATGGCGTAATCTCTGTCCACTTTGTCACCCCACACATGCTCTGTATGTGGGAATTCAGAGGGTATATCTGTATAGTTGGTTGTTTCACTGGCTTTCGAATGTTTTTCTCGGCCTTTAACGTCATCATCACATTCAGAATTAGCTACTATCGAGCACAAACTTGTGGCAGTTGCTGCTATAGAAAAGGCTGTATGTGGTAACTCCATTGTTTTTGACATGGTGCTTTTGTCTGCTTGGCACTTGTCTGTGCATGAACATGCAGAAACCTCAGGCAGTTTGTTCATTTCAATTACAGTCTCATGTTCATTACTGCCTAGGAAAGGATCACAATTCTGATCTGTTGCTAATGTGTTTACACCAGAGTCAAAGGGTAGAGTAGGTTCTAGGTAATTGTGTAATACTTTTACATTCACTACTTTATGTTCTTCTTCTGTTGTGTTTTCCAAAGGTTCACAAATTTGCAATTCTCCCAACACATCATAATCAGCTTCCAGACAATCATTGTCAGTGTTATGAATGCAGCTGTTCAGTGGAGACTCATGCAAATCTTCAGAAATATTATTCATATGAAGGCCGCTAATGTCATCTGCACATTCTGATTCTGATGCTTCAAAGAGTAATTTAGCCATTTTATTTAACTGGTGGTCAAAGATCAACAGTCTTTGGCCTGACTTTGGATCCATATAGCTATTCATCATGAGGTAGGAAATAAATAACTGTTTCACCTCAGAGAGAGATGGTGCATCTGTGCTGTTTTTGTCACTCATTTCTTCACCGGATGTACAAGATCCTTCCATTTGTAGCTCCCGCATTACCAGCCATGATGAAAATCTGTTTTTCAGTTCATCTGTATCAGGAAAAACATCTGGGATTTCTATTGTCTTCAACAACTCTTTTGTAAATGTCTCAATCAAGTTATTCTCCACTGCAGAGTCAACATCAACTACCTCAGAGGTTTCAGGTACGTACAAGGCTGTTATGTTCTGCCGGTTATGCAGCAGTTCCGATGCAAGTTTTTCTGTGATTATATTTTGCTGAAGAGAGGTGGAGAAAGAGAGGATTTCACCAGCGTTAGGCCAAAGGAGACCCATGAATGCTTTCTGTCTCTCCAGAACTAACAACGCACTGCTCGAGCTTATTAAGTCACACTGGACAGCCTCGTCGACTGTAAGCCTCACCCCATTGCAAGGATTAACGATGCCACCATTTTGGGTCTGATGGCTTAATATCTCACTTGCAGTGTCCAGATCAATCAGACCCTCAGATACGGCCTCCTCAACAGTCAGCTTTTGGCCGGTGTTGGGTTCAACTATGCCTCCTGCAAACAACTGGGTGCTCAGCAACCGAAGCATGATCTCTCTATCAATGACGCCCTCGTGCATAGCTTTCATAACATCAATCTCTCCCCCAGATATAGTTCCATCTTTTCCACATTTGACTGGAAGCAGGCGAAGTCTTGTCGGCTCGTGAATCAGGCTCCTCTTCACAAGCTGACTAAGTGTGACTCTTTCTGCAGTGTTGGGGTCAATCAAGTCCTCCCAAGTGTCCTTGCTCTCTGACATCTGGATAAAGAGTGAGTCGGGTATCAGGCCAAGTTGAAAAGCCCTTTCCAGATGTAGGATATCACCGGTGTATCTTAACCCTCCAGTCGCTAGCTGGATTTCAATGATCTTTATAGCTGTTTGCACAGATATAGCCCCATTTTCCAGGGCTGCAATAACTGGCAATGGTTCTAAAGCAAACTGGGGATCCTGAACACATTTTTTAGCTTTATTCAAGTCTTGCAGTTGCTTGAACATTGTGTCATCCACAAGTTTGTTCTTGAATGCATCCTCCAAGTCCATACACAAGTGCTGTTCAGGCCAAATGAGTCCATTGGTTATAAGTTGAGCCTCAAGAAGACCAAGTCCTGTGTTCTGGTCAATGAGGCCATTGTTCACCGAGCAACACACAGACATGACAGCTCCACTTTCAACATCCAGAATCCCTTGAATGACCTGCAGTGCCTGGAAAGAGATAAAATAAATCAAGATGTTTCTGAAAGTATGTTCAAACATAATCATTAATCATTTTGATAACAATATTGGTTATAAATACCATCAAACATACTCACCCATCAGTCAAGTCTATGGATTGTACTAGCTCATATGCAACAGTGCAAGTCATCAGAAAGAGAAATGGGACGCAATAAAAGCTTACATGCATCTGTGAACAGAACTCTCAGTATTTTGTAGAACAACACAGTTAGAGAAAACACGCAGAGCATTATGTTATTATGTGCAGTGTGGTGAACCTCATGTAGACAGGAAAAAGAGTATCCTGCTGTGAAGAAAGAGTGAGACTGGCTGACATGCAAGGTATGTTTACAGCATACTCAGTTTACCATGAAGTTTTAAAACACACACAAAAGTATTTTTGCCATCTTTGCAGTAGTGGCATTAAAAGTTAGAGTGGCTAAGGATTTTGGAAACTGTCTTACCATGCTACATATTTCAAGCTGTCAAAACAAATATTAGTCATGCAGCTGGAGAGAGTGTTTACACTTTGCACACAATAATCACCATATACTGTATAACCACCAATTGGCAGAATATCTCACCTGATCAGCTGAAGAAGTTGCATCTGCACACTGTTGTGAGAGCTCGCTGTAGGCCTGGTGAAGAGATTTGAGCTGCTCTTTTGCCTCTTGCTTTTCTTCTTCTGTCATTCTAATAAAAGAAAACATTTTACAAAAAATTCCTATTGGGAAAGCACATGAAAATGAGAAAATAAGTAAAAAAAAAAAAAAACAAGTGCATGCAAATAAACAATGCTATTGGAAGCCGCAATTCATTCTCAGTGAAGCCCTGTGGACATTATAACATACTTGTCACTGTGTTTGGTTAGCATCAGCTGGGTCGTTTTCAATGCTTCTCCAATTTGTTCCTTCTTTGTCACCATCTCCTCCATTGACATCTAAAATATAACATAATAATGCATTAGATTAGCTGCACTTTGAAAGCCACTTCATCCAACATCTACTGTAGGCTACTCAAACATCTGAAATCAGATTCATGTTTTTTAAGCAACCTCTAGCCATATAATTTGCGGAGAAAGTGAGGATATGCCACTATTAGAGTTCCATGATTTATTATTATAATGGGGTGCAAAAGTTTGAGACCACACTGAAAACCTGGGATTCAAAATCTAAATTAACACAGAAAACAAACAACGTTTCGGGATTTTGAACACTTATATGAACACTTATTTGAACACAAATATGCTGGAGCCTATCCCACACACACCTACGGACAATTTAGTGTCTCCAGTTCACCTTGGACTGTGGGGGAAATCGGAGCATGAAACCCATGCAAACACAGGGAGAACATGCACACTTCACGGATAGAAGCATATGCTAAATGCATAAATGTAAATGTAATCATTTATAGATATTGTGACACTGACCATGTGTACTTTGTATAAAATGTATTGCTCCTACTGAAGCACAAAATTCTCTTAATAACATTCACAAATCATGCTGGTGTAACGGTGTAGTATTCTCAGGAACAGGCTGAAGACTCAGAAGATGAAATCCAAACACTTTAATAATAAGAATCATGTAACATGCAGGGAAACTCACGTTAACACAACAGTGTAGATACTAGGTGACCAGACAACGAGTGCCGGATAAGGAACAACTTAAGTAGTGAACACAACGAGGATAATTACTAAACACAGCTGACACACATAAACTAATAATGACGGTAACCAAGGAGATGGACGAGTAGCGGGAAACTGAACAAAGAAACATGTGACAGATGAAAACATACTGAGAGTCCATGAACAAAACTAAACTGAATGTGACAGCTGGATATCATGAGCAACGTATTTTACACAAACCTGTGAAGTCCATGTCAGCTTGTGTGCATGCTGTTATTAAAGCAAATACAGATTCTGAAATGTGTCATTTTTTTCAGTTACACTTTTCCCTGGGGGGGGGGGGATACAGGCATTTTCACAATTGGCCTCAAATTTTTGGATCCCACTGTATTTTTAAAGACATTTTGCCATGTTTATATAAACATCAAGGTTGAGTAATCAATCTTTTGTTTGGAGAAGTATATATTCTGACATTTTAGGTGGATGAATGGTAATTTTTACACAACTTTCTAACTTGGGAAACAATTTGTTTTAAATGGCATTTAAATTGTTCTCTGCTCTTGGTCAATCAACAGCACATTTACCAACTAAATTACTTGGCTCTGAGAACCAGGAAGCACTCCAAAATGAGTGGTGTGTAAGATTGTGTTTGATGAAGTGTAGAGATATAGCAACATCAGTAGTGCAGGGAATTCTATAACCACCATATAAAGCTGTGATTTAAGCCCCAGTGCAATTTGTACAGTTTATCACACTGTACATGCACATTATGTTGTTAATGTGGATGATGGAGCTTATGGATACATTTTCATTGGATTATTATTGTTGCCCCATGTGTAAAATGGGACATGACCTCATGGCTGGTCCAGATGTAATATAACAAAATAGTGATTATGGTGATTATTTAAATCACAATTTGAAATGAAAGGGTGATGTATTATGGGTAAATATTTTATGTGAAATGTGGGTGGATAATAAAAGCAAGCAACAAGTATGTGACCAACAAACATATGAAGAGATACAAAATAATAATCTTTATTCAGAAAAACAACAATGTAATTGTGTTTTGATGTTTTTGACATATTAGCAAAGTTTGGAAATGCCGAAAAATTCAGTTCCCTGTAATGTTCAACACGTTGACAAGATGCTGACATTAAAACAGCTACAGATAGACCTGTTAAAAACGATGAAAAAACAATGGGATAGTTTGACTTGTTTACCTGGGGTTTACTAGTGCTCTCAGTGCTGGGTTTACCATCACTTTGAGCTTTTCCATCTTTGTTCAGATTCGTTTTCATACTGGACAATAACTTGTTAACTTTATCGCCATGTTCTTTCTTCTCGTCCTCAACAGACCTCTAAAATCATTGGAAAGAAATTGTAGGGTGGATTAGAAAACAATTTAGAACATTCATTATTAGCGAAAAAAAAAAAATCAGTGTTTGAATACAATATACTGTACAGAAAGGAATGAGCAGGTCTGTTTAGCTCCCAGCCATTTTACATGGAAGCATGCTTGGCAATAAATTAAAAATGCCATCAAAAAGAGAAAAAAAAATGGATCACATAATATATGAGACATTTTTAAACAATATCTTAGAAAAAAATCCCATATTTTAAAGAATCCCCTTTTCACCATTTTGACCACTTTTTTTTTCAGGATAAAAATATATTCTCTTCTATATTAGATGATGCTCCACCACAAAGGGTTGCTAATATACTAGCTATGCCAATTACTTTTTCTGCTATTTACAAAACATTCACCAAAAAAATGGCCTGATTTTAGGAGTCCAGTAGCACATCAGAAGTGCCGATAGGTCCAGAAGTATTGGAAAGAAGTATTACCAGTACTATGGGGCTTTGTTACTTCAAGAAGGACAAACCCAGTGTGGCTGTCAAAGACACTCTTTTCTAGAGCGTCTTTGAAAGAAATTTTTCGCTTGGTTTTGGGGCAAGTGATACATTTCAAATGGGAATTGTCATGTTGAAGATGTGCAGCAGTTGCTTTGTCGATCAAGCAATTCTGTATGCCATCCTCCAATGAGACTCTCTCTTGGCTCTCTGGGTTTATGAGCCCACCTGTTGCCAGTTGAAACTCAAGACACCTCACGGCAACATCCTTTGGGAAAAGGTTCTCTTGCATTGCCTGAGCCACAGTCAAAGTCTTTCCATTTTGAGGGTGAATGATGCCATAGTAGGCTTGCTCACATTGCTGGATCTGTCTGGCAAAACCTTCATCCAAGAGTCCTCGATGTAGTGCTTCTGTAATCAGAACCCTTTCGCCAGACGCTGGATCACAGATGCCTCCAGTGCAAGCCTGGGCTTCTAGCAACCTCAATGCGGTGAGTCGGTCCACAAGGTTCAGCTGGTGCCCTTTGAAAACCGGGAGTCGTTTCTTCAAAGAAACATCCCAGAGTCCTGCAACAGGACCGTTTGAAACTTTAAAGACAACTCTTCTGGAAATCAAAAGATCAGCAAACTCTGAAATGCTGAGCTGACCACTCCGGTAGCTATTGAGCTCTTCCATTTGGAGAATTTTCAGACTAAGAGCATTTTCAATGGAAAGCTGCCGCCCAGTCTTATGGTCTGTTAGGATGTGTAAAAGATTCCTACTTGAGTCCATGATTGTTATCTCTTGCCATTCGCTCTCTTGTCTTGAGAGAAACAGGTAAGTTCTCTTGTCAATGTGACCGGCCTTATATGCTTCATAGGCTGACATTTTCGCACCATTAGAAGTGTTGATGACCGATATTCTGTGTTTGTTGGAAGGTGAGAGGGTGAAAAGATGTTGGTCACCAAAAGGAAGAAGATATACTCCACCATTGACATCATATACACAGATTCGGAGCAGTTCGCTGTAGTATGCCTTCTGCCCTGTTTCTGGGTAGTGAAAATCTTTTGGGTTACTAACTGGATCATAGAGACTTTGAAGGGTGGTTTGATTTATGAGCCCCTGCTCTAGTGCACAATCCATGGGTACTCTACTTCCAATCAATGGATGAATCAAACCTCCAGTAGCGATTTGAGTTTCTATTATCGCTTTCCCTCTATGCCTATCTAGAATTCTCTCCTCCATAGCCTGAAACACTGATAGAATCTTCCCAGCATGAGTATAGCCACTGACTGCTTTGTAAGCATCACTTATTTTGTCTTTGAGATCCTCAGTAATGATACCTTTCTCAAAAGCATCTGAAGGAGAGTAATCTTCACCTGTCATAGGATCAATAATGTATCCTGTGGCAGCTTGTGCTTCCAAAAACTCAATGGCATATGTTTTAGATATTAATCCTCCTGCAACAGCATCGAGGAAGGACAGCTTTTTCTTGCTAGACTCTATATAAACACCTGCAATTGAGGACGGTTTACCAACAAATTGAGCAAGTGATGCTTCTATCTCCTCCATAGTGATGAGGCCTGTTTGTAACTTGAGTGCAATTTCCTGAGTAATCATATTAGTTTTTATTAACCTTTTAATACTTATCCGTCCTCTGAGACCTTGAATTTTATGGGAAGAAGACTCCATTTTTAGCCCTTTCGATTTACTTGCTATAGGCGAGTCAGAAGCAGGATCGATGGAGGACTCAGAATCATTGATATTGAATGTAACAGTCTGGCTTTTACCAGACCTGCCTTTATCAATCGAGCTTTTCCTGAGTATAGGGTCAGTGATGTCACTCTGACTGTTAACAACCATCACTTGATTTGTGTGTATTTCAAATGCATTCGAGTTCTGGAGGGGAACAGAATTTTCTGTTTTCTTGGTAGCATATTCCAGACTTCCCTCGTTGATTACTTGCATTTTCGTTTGCTTGACCTTTTGTAGCTCCTCCAGCACTTTTTCCTTTTCCAGTGTAGCTATCTGCAAGCATGAGATCATTTATGCAATTAGAGCATGGACTAAGTTTTGAAGTAACATCCTATCTACTATATTCTCAGATCTTGACAAATATGAAACTGAACCTAAATTGAAATCCAGACTCTATGATGATGATACCATACTGTACACAATAAATATATTTCATTATATATAACATTACATTTATAGGTAACGCTTCCTTTTACAGTCCTGTTACCCATGTACGTACTATGTACTTATTATAGTTATTATAATTACTGGGTAATAACTCGGTACTAACCCTGAACCTACCCCTAAACCTACCCCTAATCCATGTACTTACCTTATATTAGCCAGTACTTTCTAGGTAAGTACACTGTAAGTACACGTAAGTACTGTACTGTAAAAGGAAGCGTTACCCATTTATATATATATACATATTCATAAATAATTCTATAAGAGTTAAGGTGAAGTGTGTGATTTCTGCACTAATAGAACAGCAATATGTAGCTTCCTCTCTACCCCATCTTTTACTGCTTATATTCACAAAAGTGAGGACTATTTGCCTCATGCAATTATTGCACTATTACTGTCTGGGGTATATAGGTGGTGAACATAATTTAAATGAATAGAATTTATAGTGATCGCAGCAACAATAATTTTTCAAATGATGATCAAATTATGGAGAAAAGCTGGGAGGTCAACTATCAAATGACCTATGGTGCTTTCAAACTTTTGGTGCACACTTGACGTCAGAATTTAGTTTATTTGGATAATGTGAACACTGGTTTTAGAACTCGGATGCACACCTGTAACCCATGACTGAGTCCACCTAAAAAGGTGGTCTGGGGTACTCCGGTACGGTTTGCTGCTGATATGAATGCAACTGTCCTAAATCATTGAAGGGAACTGCTATTGATGATGTATGATTGGTCGAATTGTGTCAGTTTGTGCTCGCTCTCTTTCTTGACAAGTAGGATTGATGCAATGCAAGCAGAGATATAAACCAAGAGATAGACCAAAGTATAAGGCCCTGTTTACACTAGTTCGACCCTCGAAAACTGAGACGTTTGGAAACACTGAAGACCCCGTTTTAGTTTAAAAACTCTTGGGGTTGAGTTTCAGTGTAGACAGACCGAAATAGAAACTTTTGAATATGAGGCTGCCCACATTCACTCCCTGATTGGGTCTTGTGGATCATTGTATATCCTTCCCTGATTCATCAAGCTCCTTTCATATGACCATTACGCTACTGGAACACGACAATAACAGACCAGAGCCGTCTCTCTCAATGGCTCTGTAACAGATCAGGCTCGGCGATTGTGTAAACAATAACATGGAGACAGAACTTCAAGCTTTGCTGACTTTGTTGGCCTTTTTAGCAGCTATTGTGCAGTTAAACTCTGCACTTTATAATACTGCAGCTGCCTACATGCGCAAGAGGCGAGCTATTATTAGAGTAATCGGCAACAATGGGTAACTGCTAACACTTGTACGTGCATCCCCAGTGTGCATGAATGGTCATGTTACATACGTATTCGGTCGTGTAGTGTGGGCCGAGATCTTTTCTGAAAAGCAGTGGAAACGCCAGTATGGACGAGGATCGTTTTCATTTTCAAAATGCCATGTTAAAACGATAACAGGGCCTAAACAGGGCCTAAATGTGAGGCGAGTAAACCTTTCTATTTTGCTGCCTTGTACCGCATTGTCGTTACCTAACAATAAGGGTAAACAACTGCCACTTTGTTGATAGTGATGCTGACCCGCAAAATACAAGTGTGAATAGAATTGAGGAGGTGCAATTGACTAAGCAATGGAACCAAGTGTGAAAGCACCTTTACTTATAGTTGTATCTCCACATTGTTAAAACACAAAGAAATTGCACACTTCACCTTTTAATGAAAGTTTTACAAAACTGCGAATGCACCTGAAGTCGTACCTCAGAGCTCATTTTCGTTTTCTTTAGTTCCTCCTCCAGGTTCTGTTTCGCTTCTTCGTACGACTCAACAATTTTCTGAGTCAGCTGAAATTCAGTCTTCAGCTTTGCCAGCTCTTCGTCTTTGGCACACTGATGATTGGCCTGTCCAAGTGCCTCCAATTCTTTTAGATGCTTCTGCTCAGAATTAACTGCTACCTCAAGCTTCAGATTCTTCTCCTGTAGAGACTTCATGTCCTTGATGTATGAAACAATCTGTTCTTTTAGAGATTTTCCTTCCCTTTCCGAGATGTTCAATTTCTGCTCAGACTCTGCCAACTTTTGCTTTAACCTTGATATCTCGTTTGAGCTGTCTTTGTGAATATTGTCGAGTTGGAAAATACTAGATTTTACCCTGATTTTATCAGTTTCCAACTCAGAAATCTTTGATTTTGCTTTGAGAAGTTCAAGGTCAAGAATTCCCCTCTGTCTGTCAGATTCGTCCAACTGTGTGCGTACATTGCAGAGATGTTGTTCAGCCTCTTGTTTGGCTTTTGTTGCATTAGCAATTAATGCCTTCAGCTTCTCCACTTCTTGAGACAGGTGCTTGTTATCTCTCTCTGCAGTTTCCACAGAATGCGAGTGCTCCGTTGATTTCCTCTCATGCTCCAATTTTAAGCGTGATTCTTGCAGCGAAAGCTTTTGCTCCATTTCAGCCTGCACTATCTTCAGTTGAGTCTCATAGCCTTTCTTTTGTAAGTCGAGTTTAACTTTGAGATCATCAAGCATCTTTTTACAGTTGTCCAATTGTTCGCCAAGCTTTTGTGACCTCAACTCAGCAGCTGCTGTTTGATTTTGCTTCTGCTTAAGCTCTTCATTGGTTTGCTTCAACTTCTGCTTCAGTTCTGATGTTTGGAGAGTTAAACTTGTAATTTTGTCTTCTGCAGCATTCCTATCCTTTTGAAAAGTGACTAGCTCTTGTTTTAAATTCAGTACAGATTTATCTGCGCTTGAGCTCATTTCTCGCATTACGGAACTTTTCCTTTGGAGTTCAGCCTCAAATTCTTTGAGTTTGGACTGGCTTAACCTGTTTTCTTCAGTCACCCGCTGTAACTCATCTTTTGTCCTTTTTAGAGTGGTACTCAGATTATCAAATTCACATTTCAAAACCTGTAACTTCTGGTCAGCGGTTTGCTTATCCCTCTGAAGAGATGAAATGTCCAGTTTCAGGCTTACTGTGGCTTTTTCTGAACTTCCGCTGATCCTGCTAATTGTCTGCTTACATTTCAAAAGCTCATTTTCAAGTTCTCGCACCTTTGTTATGCTCTTCTTACCTTCAGATGACTCCCTTTGAGATTCTCCTATGGATTTTTTCAATGCCATGTTCAGGTTATTTATCTCGACTTTATGTTCCTGAACCTTCTGATTAGCCAGATTCCTCTCAGTGGTTATGGAACTCAGCTCTGCTTTGAGATTTGAAATATCTTTTTCATAGTTGGTGATGTTCAATGTGAGAGACTTGATCTTCTGCTGTAGCTCGGTTGTCTTTTTGGCTTCTTCATTGTAATCTTTAAGTTTGATTTGAAGCTCATGAGATACCTGTGTTTTATTCAGAAGCTCCTCTTCAAATATTTTTACCTGAGATTTTGCACTTTCTGCCTGGGATCTGAGTATATTAATTTGCTGTTCCTTACTGTCAATCTCAATGGATGCTCTATCGAGTTCTGCTTTCACATTTTTAATGGCACGCTCAGTGTCCATGGTAATCTTCTTGAGTTCTTCTACTTTCTTAGTAAGCTGCGTCACATGCAAGGAACTTTTCTGAAGCTCTAATTCAAGGTTTTTGATTTTGAGTTGAGCTTCCTTCTCAGTTCTTGTCTTCATATTGATCTCTTCTTTGGCTCTCTGCAGTTGCTCCTTCAAAACCTCTGCCTCACCTTTCAGGGTTTTAATCTTTTGGTCAGCATGTGATTTGTCTTGCTGGATTGACTCAATACTTACCTTAAGATGTCGGGTATCACTTTCCAATAACTGATTCTTTCTATTAAGTTCATTGACCTTGAATGTCATCTGCTCTACTTCAGTCTGTTTGGAAGACAACTCATCTTCCATGCACCTAAACTTATGAGCACTCTCCTGTTCCAAGGAGGTCCGCTGTAGAAGTTTCCCTTGGTTGACCTTGAGTTGGTCCTTTATGCCATCAACCTCTGTCTTCTGGAACATCACTCTCTGCTCCAGAGCCGATTTGTCCCTTTGGAGAGACTTGATTTGTTCTTGATACACATAGACAGACTTTTTCAGTTCAGAAGATTCTTGTCTTAATTCTTCTGCTTTCTGTCTCATGTTGGACCTATCTGCATCTATTTCCACTTGAAGCTTCTTCAGCCTGTTGTTTGCCTCGTCTAAGAGCTCTTTGAAACGTTGGGCTTTCTCCTCAGCCACAGTTTTGTGGACAATGAATGAGTTTAATTCAGACTTCAAGGTCTTGATCTCAGTCTCAGCTCGTTTCTTGCCCATAATGAGCTCTTCCATTTTGCGTTGCAGGACATCTGCCTCAGATTCAGAATGGATTATCGAAGAACCGGTTGTAAAAGTGGACAGTTGTGCACCTTCTATGGAGAAACCCAACAAGGATTCACCTTGCTTCATTCTGACTTCTGACTTGTGTGACAGATCCATTTCCATGATTCTCACTTGGCTAAGGAGCTCTGCCTCTGCATCTTCCTTAGCCCTCAGTTCTCGCTCTAACGTACGACTGTGCTCCTCCAGGCCCTGTACATCACTGTCCTTGCGACGTAAATGATCTTCCAGCTTCTTACGGGCTAATGTACTTTCCTCTATGCTCTTTTTAAGGTTGCGGAGGCTCTCTTCCAGGGTGGCCTGTTTGGCCTCTGACTGCTGAACCTGTTGCCGAGCACGATTCAGCTCTTGCTCGATGGAACCTTTGCTTTTGATCACACCTTCTAGTTCAACACGATATTTCTGGGCCTCATACTCAGCCTTTGACCTCTGTAAGGTCAAGTCCTCAATTGACTTTTTATGCATCTCAAGGTCTGCTCCCAAGATGTCCAGCTGCTGTTGCCTGTTAGACAGTGATGCCTCGAGTTCCAGTACCTGACGCCGGAGCCTGGTGACCTCCTCTTCACTTGCAGCTTTCTGCAGCTCCATGCTCTCAGTCCAGCTTAAGTACTCCGCATTTTCCAATGATTTCCTCCTCTGTAATGAAAGATACAGTCATCTTCCAGTCAACCACTTGGAAGAGAATAGGCGGTTCTTGCCCACTTACCAATAAAGGTTGAAAAACCAACACCACCACCAAGTGTTTGCATATACACGTCAGCATTTTTCCAGGACATGCTTTCCCAAGAGACAAGGTCAACCGCAATGATACAAAATGCAGCAACATGTGCTATTTTGTATCAAAATATATTTCCAAGCATCGAACAACATTTTGAATTGTAGGAAAGAGTGTAATAAATATGTGTGCAGCATGTTTGTGTGTGTGATTGCTCTAATGGAACATGGCTGGGAGCAAAGCATTGCTAAATAACATGCAATGAAGCTGCTACAAAGCAACAAAAAAAAAAAAACAGAAAGGGAACATTAGCATTTCAGCTATAATGCTAATCAACTCTATTCGATGAAGCATGAAAGACAAGAAAAAGTCAACAATTGCCTTACCTCATCCTCTTCCGCCCTCTTCAGTGTTTCACCTGCAAACTTAACATACTGTGTCATGAGAGTAACCAGGGCTGTGTAACGTGTACGAAGGTCCATAAACTGAGGAGGGAAACAAAGACATACATACTCAAACAAAATAAAAAGGATAGCAGTGTAAGCCTATGGAAATAGGTTATATTTCTCTCGTACCTCCTGCTGGATGACATCAGAGGAACTCTGCATCTTCCTCCTCTTCACTGGGGATTTATGCTGAGAGTCAACCATGGCTCTATAAGTCATCAACTGCAGTTCATAGTCCTTAAAGAAAAACAAGTATGGAAAAAAACACTTAAATAAAAGTTTCTTTGCTATCTGCTTAATTGTTTTTATTTAATTTTTTCCCTGGGGATGAAGAATTTAAGGGTATACCATTTACACATAAAATTACTATAATGGTACTGTAATAAAGTATTGGTGTCACATATGATAAAGTACTGGTGTCACATGGTAATACCAATGTACTACATGATTACAGTATTCGGTAGCACTTTACTTTACAGTCCTGTTCCAAATGTACATACTATGTACTTATTATAGTAATTATAATAACTAGGTACTAACCTTGAACCTACCCCTAAACCTAACCATGTAGTTACCTTGTAGGGCTCACTACTTTCTTAGGTAAGTACATGTAAGTGTATGTACTGTAAAATAAATTGCAACCCAATAATCACATGAGACAGTATACCTTAGTACCCGAAGACAAAAAATTGTATTACCATGTTACCATATATTTTGTTAATAATTTTGCCTTACTTTCACTCCAACTGCATAATGCTCTGAATACTTCTGGCACTCCTCAATTTTGCTCTGTTTTTGCTCGATTTCTGCAACCAAAACCTAGAAATAAAGCAAATTATTAGGATTTGATGCTAGTAAACTAGATGGACATATACAGTTTACCTATGAGTTTTTTTTTCGTCATACTTTCTGCTGGTTAAGGAACTCGGCCAACGCCTTGCTGTCCTCAGGTTGATTCTCTTGGGCCTTGAGTTGCTTGGCTTCCATTTCTTTGCTCCATTCATCCAGGCTGTTGTATGTGTCTTTGTAATACTTAAGAGATTTGCTGATGCCTTCCAGGTCTCGGAGCCTGAATACAAAGGAACACAAATACATCATATATAATGAACAAGATAAATTGTGCATTATGAAAATAAATGTACATGCATTCCTCTAGCTCATTTGGTAGATCATGATGCTAGCAACGCCAAAGTAATGGTTTGATTCCAGATCAAATGTATACCCTAAGATGTCTGCCAAATGCATAAATGTATATGTAATAAATAAATGAAAAACACAATAATCCCTAAACTTAATGACCTGTTTTCAATCTGAGAGTGGATGTTTTGCCATCGTTCTTTGAGCTGGTCGGCCTTCTCCTTGTGCCAATCCAAATCAAAGTCTCTCTCGTTGTGCGTTTTGAACATACGCTCGCTGACCACTCGTGCCTTTTGCAGCTCGTCTTCCAAGTCATGGAATACCTCGCGTCTTTCATCGATTTCAGACCTCCATTGCTAAAAATTACGATCAAAAGTGTTAAGTCAAAGATGTTCCATGATTAAACCATCATCGAGACAGCATTTTCAAAGTTACAATGAGAGTTTATTACCTTGAGAGTGCTCACAACACCATCGATAGATTTGATATTAGCATTGATTGTATCCTCCTCACACAACTTGGCTTCATAAAGTTTGACCAGAGCTTCGGCACTCTGACTGTGTTTCACCACCAAGCTCACTGTCTTCAGCCTGAGCGTAAAAGATAATCAAGTCAAACAAGATAGGAATTATAAAGCAGCCCTTTCTAGCTGATTAAAGGGTTCATATTATGCTTTTTTCCCATGTTCATCTTTTCTTAGTGTGTAATGTTGCTGTTTGAGCATGAAAAAGGTTTCCAAAGTCCCTCCAGCGGGAGTTATTCTCTATATCAGTGTCACTATTTTACCTGAAGTTCAAACCATTGTAGTCTTGAGTTTTCTTCCGGGAACGAACACGTCACAATATTCCTCATTATAATAATTAATACGCAGAATAAAGGGGCGGGGCCTGGTTGAGTTAGTTGGTTGTGTGTTGAAACTGGCGGTTATGCCAAGTGGCGGGACATTTCCCAAACATGCTCAAAGCGCTTGACCAATCACAACACACTGATTCAGTCGACCAATCAGAGCACAGTGTGCTTTTCAGAACGAGGGGCTTCATAGAGAAAGGAACTAAACAGAGCGTTACTGACAGACTGGGAAGAGAGGAGCCGCAACAATGGAGAAAATAATGTGTTTTTTGAACATTCAAGCATAAAAACCTATTCTAGTAGAGCCCAAAAACAAAATCAAGACTCAAGAAAATGGGCATAATAGGTATTTTTTGCTAGAGATCGCTAGAATCTCAGCATGTAATCCTTGTGTGGGATACGCAGCAAATTAATTTCAAGCATTGAGCTTTTTTACTCTTTTTGGAAGGATCTTATTGTACCTTGGAATCATGTCAAATGTGGACTGAAAAATGTGCAAGATCAGAGCAAACAGAGAGCAGAGAATGTGGGGAAGTGTCACAAGCCAGATTAAAACAATGCTCGCATGAGCAACGGGGCTCAATGTGCTGAAGCACATCTTCTAACCACTAGGTCACATCTTTACTCTCTTAAACACATCTCATTTGAGGACTGAGTGAAGACTCACTTCTCCAGGTAGATGCAGCACATGGAGTAGACCTGGTTGGTGCTCTGGGTGAGGATGCTGAGCTCAGAGGAAAGCGTGGGGACGGATGGAGAGGCAGATGCTTGCCTGAGGAAAACTTCACACTTCTCTCTCAGGGTCTCCAGGTCTTCCTTCAACCTATCCAGCTCTGCCTTCTTTTTCTGGAATGAGTGAGAAGGAGAGGCCAGATGTATTACAGATATTGTTTTTGTTTCAGCATCCAGATTTTACACTGGACGTCCAAAAACCGAAGCTGAAGATCAAACCTCCTGTTCGGTGATGCGCAGAAGACACTCCTGCAGGTCATCTCTGTCTAGCGGCGTACGGATCTTCCTGATCAGCTGTTCCTCGTGACCCTCCACACGCATGCGGAAGTTACGCACCTCAGTTATGAAGAGGTTGTACACAGACTCCTCGTGTTCTTCTGTTGACCACCAGAGGGCAATGCATTACATCAGTGACACATCATGTCCATACAATAAGTTTCTGTTTCTTTGAGAAAACACATTGAAAATGTAGCTAGTGGCAACACATCTAAGCCGAATGGATCTAACACTTGTGTATGTGCATGCAAATCTTGCAGACAATTCATATTTCAGGACTTTATTATTAGACTACAGGCAGCCGATATAGTGAACTTATGAAACGTCTCAACAAGAGCAACAAAAACAGAAATTTTTGAAGTGCACTCAGTAATTACTTAATGGTTTTAGATGCATTACAAATGATCAATACTATAGTTCAACTGTCTGTTGAAATTTAAATGCATACCCACAAACACTCTAATTTCTAATATTGATGAGGAGATCTGTGCAAGGATAATACATCATTCCTTAAAGTATTAACAATCTACTTAATAGGCTTAGGAGAACACGTGCTTAATGTCTGGTGGCGCCAGTCACTGCTAATTCAGACGTATAGTTTAACTATTCTCTAGTCTAGACACCCCCGCATTCATTACTAACAGTCCAATTGCCAGGTTTCCTGATATGGCCACTGTCTGAAAATGCTTGACTTCTGGTCCCTTTGTAGTTGTACAGTCAAACCAAAATTTATTCAGACACCTTCAACATTTCTCACATGATCACAGTTTATTCGCTATGGTTTAAAAAATGGTAATAAAATATGACAAGAACTCAGTTATCAGATCAAGTGGATATTTCACTGGTTTTGTCCGTCCTTCTGTTAGACTCTCACACATGAATTATGTTGAATATCTGTCAGCTGTTAAATTTAACTACACAATTACATAATACTAATTTAGCTCAACCAATTACCAAGCAATGCTTCATGTTGTTCAGTCTGTGGTGTAAAAAGTTCGCATTAGCTATTAAAGAAAAAACACTAAAGAAAACATGGTCAGGTCAAAGTCTCTGAAAAATTTTTGGTCCAAAATCTTTCCTGCTAGTCACTATATGAAGAATTTTTAGGTATAATATGTCACAGTTTACTGTATTTTGCTCTCCTCGCTTATATAAATGAACTATAGTGTCCTGCACACACTAGTTAAACAATATAAAAGCAAATATATCTGGTGTCTGAATAACATTTGGTTTGTCTGTATATGCGTGTGTGTGTACAGTAACTTGCCTCTCTCTGCAGATTTGAGGAGTTCCTCATAATACTCCTTACAAGCCAGAACCTCCTTTTCCAGCTGGCCACAATCAGCCACGGTGAAAACATCGGATTCATCGCTGTCCCTCAAGAAGTCGTCGAAGTGGGACGTCAGGCTGCCCAGCACCTGCTCGTGATCACCTGGCAATAGGGTCTTGATCTAGGGAGGAAAATGAACATTGCACTATAAGTTCACTAGGTTTTAAAACATAACTGTAGTCTCAAGGCACACGCAAACAGAAGGTTTGTACCGAGGCGACGGTGCTCTTGCGGATGGCACGGATGTCCGTCATCAGATAGTGCCAGGACACGACGCTCTTCATGTTAACGTGAGAGTGATGCCACAGAGCCAGAACATTCTGATACAGCTGCTCAATCCTGAAAGAGAACCAAGTATAATATTTAATATTAAATGTGAGCATTGAATGGGAATGAAAAAGGCTTTCACAGCGGTTAGTTTTAGAAACTTAGTTCTAGGAACTAGCCATACCGAGAACTAATGGTTCCATTAGGAACATTTTCCTGGTTGCATTCGCACCGCCAGTAGGAACTCAGCTTTTTAAAAATGGCGGGTGCTGGTGTTTCGTGCGCGTTCGGCCAATCAGTGAACACTAACGTCACTGTAGATCCTATAGTGCTGGTTTAGCCAATGCCAAAACCAACCACATGACCGTTTAATGTAATGTTAACCCATAAAGCTAAGTGTTTTCTTAAGTTTGATAATTAATCTGCTATGTCATGTTTATGACATATTTATGCCAATTTATGTTGTCTCGGTAATGTCAAGTTGTCATGACAAAGACATCTCAAACAATGTCATATTTGCATTAAAAATGCCATAATTGAATGACACTTAATGACAGTTGTCATAAACATTCATGTGTCATGTCATGATTATGAAGGTGTCATGTCAGTCTTATGCACACCTCTTCAAGTAAAGTGTTACCATATTTAAACATAAATTGGTACGCTTCACTCTTAAGTTGGCATGAAATGAAAATTCACCCTATCTGTTCTCTAATGCATGTTATACATCTTATTGTTAACAATTAATCCGTGCATATGGTTCATATTATAAAATGACCTCGTGATATTTCATCAAAATGCCATAATTGTATCTTCCAGTATAAACGTCAGACTTCTCTCTTGTGGCGTATGCAGGATTCTCCAATCACTGAGTGCGCTGAAACTCCGCCCCTGCAAGCTCACGCTCATCTGCATACGCTTTTGAGTGCCACGCCCACATCTGCGTCAACCAATCAACAACCAATGCATAAAACCAAGTCGTCGCCCTTTTTTTCTTTCCGATGATCTGTTATACTCGTATGCAAGTCACAATACAGAAGACATGATCCATCACTACGTCCATTTCCCAAACTAAATAAAGAATAAAATAAAATGAACTCCCAGAATGTCCTCACCTGCTTGACATTTCAACGGCGTCCTTGTTGGGTGGAGGAACACTAAAGCAGACCGAAGGCACCATGGCCTCGTTTCCAGATGGACTGATCACTTTCCACTTCGCCCTGTGAGAATTACTCACTAGAACACATTCATCTTCTTTGCCGATGGTGATCTGAGGAGAGACGGGTCACCAAGTGTTTTATAGCAGACGCCGCTGCTGTTACAGTTTTTTCAAATTGCTTGAGACTTGAAACCATTCACTCCTGTTCAACTACAAGCACATTATACACTTTACAAACTTTTTGGGAAACTCTAAACACAGTTCTCTACATTACCATTTAAATGCCACTATCATTTCCCGATTACCTACACCCAATGATCATGTGTGAAAACACATACACAAATTGATCACTTAGAAATCAAAACTCAGTGTTTTGAGAAAGAAATTATTTTTACCCCCTTGAATTTCTGTTTATAGCGCAAATATATACAGTATATGTATATAAGCATATATATATATATATATGAAGAGTTTGGTTCCAAAACGCGATAAACATCATTTTTACTGCAAAAATCAGTATTGTATCTGGTTGGTATTGAAAAGTCAATGTTTAATTTGAAGTAAAATGCGATATCCGCCGTGTTATTCTGTCATGTTTTCTCCCTTTCTTTCCAAACCGCGACAAACGCCAGTCTCCCTTCTCTGCGATATATCCGCTCTCAACCAATCACAACGCACCATTCCACTCTCAACCAATCACAACGCAACATTCCGCTCTCAACCAATCACAACGCAACATTCCGCTCTCAACCAATCACAACGCAACATTCCGCTCTCAACCAATCACAACGCAACATTCCGCTCTCAACCAATCACAACGCAACATTCCGCTCTCAACCAATCACAACGCAACATTCCACGCAATGTAAACAGTAACGGCAGCGCCTTAAATACACCCGGCTTCCTAGTTTTTCTTATCTATTTTGTACTTTTCGATAAAAAAAAAAAAAGAATAATTTTGACGGCATTGATGAACCTGTGGTTGTTTCTGCGGTGGGTAAGAAACGTAAGGCATCAAAATCCAATCATTTACATGAGGAGATTATGTATGAGGCACTCGGGAGGAGGAAAAATGTTTTCAATCTTCTTTACAGTTCTTAATAAAAATATTATACTAATAAACTTACGTTGTTGTGTATTTTCAACAGTTTCAATATGAAAAAAAATTTTTTTATATTGATCCAATGGATTAATTGCATTTAAAAAAATAAAATAAAAATTTAAATGGATTTATTGCATTTTGGGGGAAAAAATAATCCATTTTTATAATAAATCTTTGAAAATCAAAACCTGGATTTAATTTTTTTTTTGTTATTATGACCTACAAATGCTATGTGAAAGTTTGAAACAGAAAATAGTGGTTTTCATCTTTCCACTTTCTTGGTAAAGAAAACACATTTTTACTCAAATTAATCTAAATGGATTTATTGCGTTTTGGAACCAAACTCTTCATATATATATACATATTACACACACACAGACGCACAACGCACACACACACACACACGCACACACACACACACACACACACACACAAAGCGCTTTAGAAATAAAGTTGACTTTCTGACTTGGCTTGTATGCATATTCAGTATATATATATATATATATGCATACAAGATAAGATATAGATTGTTTCGATTACGCACACTAAACAAGAAAAGACACAAGATACGTTTGCAGTTTGGTGTGCATGTGGCTAATCATCTGATGTTTGTGTGTAGAGACTACGCAAAAACCCCCATTTGGAAGAGTTAAAATAGTTTTGAATTAAGTGTTTGCTTTTGCAAGAGATTTCTGATGTTGTGTGTGTATTTTGTGGTTTTGTGTGTGAGTTTCAAGAAATGGAGCCATATTTTCAGAAATCGTGTGTAAGCAATTAGAAAAAAACAGTAATATGTGACCGCACCTCTATCTGCCGGTAGTCACAGATGGCTTTGACGGGGATGGAGGATCTGATGGGATTCTCTGGGTTGCGAGCCTTGAGCTGAACAACGGCCTTGGCCCGACCCACTAACCCGCCCACAGTGCCGCTGTATTTCAGGAGCTGCTCTTTCTCCTCCTGTGAAGAAGAAACATCGATCCGGCCTCAGTCATGCACACACATCTACACATCAATGGACAGGGATGAGAATCTGAGGAAATTTAATTGCATGAATGTATTGTGTGTAAGCGAACTCACCATGGACTCCTGAATCAGGTCCTCGAGCCGGTGTAAACTGCTGCTTCGGTCACAGCTGTACTTTCTGTGGATGGCGTCTTGGAGGCTCTTCAGGTAATCCAACGACTCTTTGGCATCGCTGAAAAACTACAAGGAGAGTAACTGTCATGAACCGTCACACGTCATGTAAATGTGTAATGCTAAATCCAGCAGTGTAACTCACGTCGAAGTAGACAGCGTTGTCTTTGAGATGTTGCTCCACACAGTGACAGAGTTGCAGGATCCAGCTCCACTGAGTCTGCATCGCTGCTCTGTACGCCTGAGGCACAGATGGACACGCTTACAGGAACGTCTATGCATCTACTCTTATATCATTTCATATTTTTATGGAATAGTCCAAAAAAAAAATGTTGACTAAATGTTTCCATAGAGTTCATTTTATTTATTAATTTAATTTAATTTAATTTGGAATGGTCAAATAAAAAACTAAATGTTGACAAAATGTTTCCATACATTTATTTATTTTATTTTGGAATGGTAAAAAAAAAAAAGATTTTTTTTTTTAATTAAATGTTTCCATTCAGTTAGTGAGACAATGTATTTACATATTTAAAAAAAAATATTTAATTTAATAAAAAAAAATATTTTATTTTATTTTGCAATGGTAAAATATAAAAAAACACAATATTAATACAATTTTAATCAAATGTTTCCATAAAGTTAGAGGGGGCATTTATGTATGTACTCAGAGGACTTTATTTGATATTAATTTTATTTTATAATGGAATGGTAAGATAAAAATAAACTACATACTAATAAACTGTTAATAAAATGTTTCCATTCAGTTAGAGGGGACATATATATATTTACTAAGTTTAAGTGTTTTATTATTTTTATTGTTTTTATTTTATTTTGGAATGTTAAAATTCAAAATAAAATAGTAATAAAATGTTACCATACAGTTAGAGGGAATATCTATGTATTTACTCTTTTTTAATCGTAACTTATTTTATTATTTTATTTTATATCACTCTCATAAAAAAAAAATTTTATTGAACAGAAGTTTTCACAGAATCTCCAATGCTCTTTTCCATACAATGAATGGAGATAGAAACTGCCAAGCTCCAAAAAGACAAAAAAGCACCATGAAAATATCATAAAGGTGGTCCATGTGACTGCTGCTCTATATTCTCATACGGCCCATGACAATGACAAGTGTAAATATGCAAAGATTATTAGTGAAAAATGACTTTAGAAGAGAATAATGTCCAAGATGTTTGCCTAACCATAACTACTCTCATCATATAACCGTCCCACTGCCTTTCATTATATGGAAAAGAACAGCGTGAGCATTCTGCTAACCTCCTCCATTTCAGTTCCACTTAAGAAAGCGAAGTCCTGATGTGCTTTAGGAGGAGTTTAGATGGGAAATAAGTTTCAAATTACCTCGATGGTCAATCTGGCAGGATGGTTCTCCAGCAAGAGGCTCTCCGCCTTCTCCTGCACTGCCCTGATCACCTCTTCCTTGTCATCCAGTTCTCTCATGAGATCCTGTGGAAACACACACATGTGAAGATGTCCCTGCCACAGATATCTAGCCTCTTTTACAAGAACCTGCACCTCAACATGCACAGGCAATGCAAAACTCCTGTGATTAACACAAAATCTAATGTTTACAGTGCCGCCACATCCGAGAGCGCTTTACAGCTTCAAGAAGAGGACGTGTTAAAGTTAGTTTCTAGCACAGCTCGTGTGGATTAATATATTTATGAGCGGATTTTCATATTGCTATAATGAAGCATCAAAGCAAAACGCTGTTTATCATAGCTAATCCATCTGATGCTCACTAAAGTTTGGGTTAAAAGTCAAAAGTTTGGCCCATACTGCCAACAAAATGATATAAAGATATGATAAATATTGCATTTATGCCCCTTTAGACCGAGCACAACATTCAGGTGATTCATTCTTGAAATTTTAGCAATTGTGTTTAGTTTTATTATGTGTATGTTAGGTCTTTTCCTCGCTGCTTTTTGTTTGTTTTTTGTTCCTATGTTACTTGTGTTCTGTTTAATTATTATTGGCTATAATCTGCAGACTGCTTTTAGGATTAGTGGATTAGTTCACTTTTTAAAAAACTTTTGCTGATAATTTACTCGCCCCCATGTCATCCAAGATGTCCATGTCTTTCTTTCTTCAGTCGAAAAGAAATGAAGGTTTTTGATGAAAACATTCCAGGATTTTTCTCCATATAATGGACTTCAATGGGGTCCAAACGGTTCAAGGTCCAGATGACAGTTTCAGTGCAGCTTTAAACGACACCAGACGATGAATAAGGGTCTTGTTTAGCGAAACGAGCGGCCATTTCAAAAATAAATGCACATTCAAAGCACAAATGCTCGCCTTGCTCTGTTCTGTGAGACCTTTTCAACGTAACTGCGTATTACGTGACGTCACGAACGCGCATCACAGAACAGAGCAAGGCGAGCGTTTGTGCTTATAAAACTTGAACATTTTTATTTATTTTTTAAATGACCAATCGTTTCGCTTGATAAGACCCTTATTCATCGTCTGGTATCGTTTAAAGCTGCACTGAAACTGTCATTTGGACCTTGAACCGTTTGGACCCCATTGAAGTCCATTATATGGAGAAAAATCCTGGAATGTTTTCATCAAAAACCTTCATTTCTTTTCGACTGAAGAAAGAAAGACATGGACATCTTGGATGACATGGGGGCGAGTAAATTATCAGCAAAAGTTTTTTTTTAAAGTGAACTAATCCTTTAACTGTACAGCCCTTTGGGTTTGGGGTTCGAGCCTCGAGACTTGAGTTGATGTGGGTTGGGTGGACTCACTGCATGATAATCCCTCTTCCTGGAAACGTTACTGTTTCGCTCACTCCAGTCGAACGCCACTTCCTCTTCCTCCTTCTCGTTGAGCCAGATCAGCTCCTGAGTGGCCCGAGACACGAAGTCATGCAGGCTCTCCAGGTGCTTCTGCCTCTCGCTCGAGCATTTCTGCAAACACGAGAGCACAAGGGACTCAGACGCACAGCTCTGACAGACGGCGGCCACTAAAGGCAGATCTTCACCACGTTCATTTACCAGAAGCCTCCTGTACTGGCTTTCTAACTTGTTGAGCTTCTCAGAGTAACTCTGCTTGAACGGCTGGGTCATCTGACTCTGTGGGGGTGACACGGGGAAGTTCATTTTTTAAGACAATTATTTGCAGGTATATATATATGGTAACACTTTACTTGAAGGGGTGTGCATAAGACACCTTCATAATCATGACATGACACATGCATGTTTATGACAACTGTCATTAAGTGTCATTCGCTCAATTATGACATTTTTAATGCAAATATGACATTGTTTGAGATGTCTTTGTCATGACAACTTGACATAAACCAATACATCATAACCTGTCAGTGTCTTTGTCATGACAACTTGACATTACTAAGACAACACAACCTGTCATAAACATGACATAGCAGATTAATTATCAAACTTAAGAAGCCACTTAGCTTTATTGGTTAACATTACATTAAACTGTCATGTGGTTGGTTTTGACATTGGCTGTCATGAGGCCATTATAACTGTTTAATGACAAATTCAATGTGTACCACAGTAGTTGAGGTCAAGAAAAATATTCATGACACAGTTATAATGTCCTCATGACTTATGATGTTAAGTAATATTTCACCCCCAAAAAAGACAATTTTCCACAGAAAGTCATTTGGGTTTGGAACAAAGGGGTGAGTTTGTAATGACTGAATTTAGATTTGCCTTACCTCGCTCATTTTGGCTTCTTTAATGCTCATCTGGAATTCTTCGATGGCTTTGTGGAAATCTTTATGATTCCCTAAATTCGATTCAACGCTCGGTAGATCCGATCCCCATTCCGCTTGATCCAGCTGACCCTTTCAGAGACAAAAAAACACCAGTTTTTACCACAAGTACATTTGACTTGCAGTAAAAATATAAACATAATTACACAGTTTTGCTTCTCAAGCAAATTATTGTTGTTTTTTTAAACACAATAAGGGCCAGATTTACTAAACAGGGCAAATTAGTGTGAGACCGAAATCCCATAAAAGCATTGATGGGAGTGTAAAGTTCTGCGGGTGTTTTAATACGCACATTAAAGAACATTTTCCATAATGACCAACACAATCTATCAAAAGCGGCGCAAAACCACATCGGGTCATAAACAAGCAGAGCTGCTGATAATCTACTAACAACAGAGTCGCAACATGGTTTAAGACCTGCTTTTTTGGGGGGGGGGGTAAATAATGAGGGTTTGCACTGGAGCAAGCTGTTAGTCAATCTGGCCTTAAGACTTGATTTCAGAGAATATTAATGACATTTTGAATTACATTTATTTTTCTTCCTCTATTTGCAAATAGATTCCTTATTTTAAGCATAAACCTCTGAAAATTTTGCAAGATATATTCTCTGAGAAAAAAAAATTACCTTAATAATTCTGTAAAATCATCACTCAAATCATCATGCTTGGTATTTTTAATGCTTTAAAACAGTGTAGAAAACATGTCTAACAAAATTGACAAATGGACAAAAATACTGATTAAAGGCCCGTTCACACCAAGAACGATGACTATATTAAAGTCCCCCTGTGGTGAAAATCCAGCTTTTAATGTTGTTTATGTGTCTATGTGGTGTTTTTAATATGCTTTAAGACAAACCATGTGTAAGTTCATAAGTCGACAGCATTGCTGAGTATTTTCTGCTTAAAACTGCAGTGAACCAAAGACAGTCTCAAACACACGCTTTGAAATCGCTGGTGTTTCTGACGTCACAAACGACCTTGTAACCAATCAGATCAACGTGTGATCGTCAACCAGTGGATCTCTGAGCTGAGTGAGTGAGTGGAGGCGGGGCTCATTTGCATATTCATAGAACCCCGCATACTAAATGAGGCAAGGGTGTCGAGTTACATCCAAGATATTTTAAAGCATGAAAAAAAAATTCAAGGAAATCTTTTTTTTTAAAAAAATATGTAATTTTGGTGATCCAAGATTAGTTTTAAGGGATAAAATGATTGACTACAGGGGGATGTTAAAGATAACTATAATGATAAGTATATTAGTATCCACACCAGCGGACTATATTGTTCTGTCTTTAATAAGCACAAGCTGCAGTTTTGTCCAGCTCATGATCTTTAAAGCAGGATTGATTCTGATTGGCTGCCAATGTTTTTATCATTCGTCAGCTGGAAATAAATCGTTCAGAAAGTGATTCCCTGTGGCATTATCGTTACAGTTGTGTTGTGGACTCTTTTATATCTAGAACGATTTTTAGAATTATATCGTTATCGTTCTTTTTGTGAACGGGCCTTGAGAATGATTATTTCCTGAGTCCTGAACACACCTGCATTTCCTCAACCCAGTTAAGTAGATCCTGCACGAACTTCAAATGAACCTCATCCTCGGTCAAGTTAGGGTCCAGGAATGAGGATTTGAGCATGGGCTTGCGGATCTGCATGTGTTTGAGCTGCTGAAGGACCCCGGGCTCCATGCCTCCTCCTCCTCCTCCTCCACCGGTGCTGAGGTAAGCCTGGACCGAGCCGGGCTGCATGCTGGGGCTCATGGATGGGGTCATTGCAGGGCCCGTACTGACCAGGCCTCCGTGAGTGAGGGCAGGAGACAGCCCGGCGCTGAAGCTTTGGGAAAAGCTGGAGTTCAAACTCTGCGTGATGCCGGAGATCATCCTCTTGGTCTGTTCTGAGGTCAGTGTGTGTCCTTTGCTGTAGACGGTGGAGCACTCGGTTCTCAAAGCCAACAGGTCGTCACGCAGCTTAGATACCCTGAGGGACCACAGAGAGCGGCACAGTTTCCATGAACACGTCACACACACATTAATGTCATTACACTGGTTGCCGGTCCGCTATAGAGTTGATTTTAAAGTCCTTTTAATGGTCTATAAATCTGTGAATGGCTTAGCACCTTCTTACCTCACCGATCTTTTGTCGAAACATGACTCGGGGAGGTCTCTGAGATCCTCGAATCATGGACTATTAGTGGTTCCAAGGACCAAATTAAAGCTCAGAGGTGACCGGGCGTTTGCAGTGTAATAGTCTGCCGGTTAGTATTAGGACTGCGAGTACTGTGGGAAAAACTGAACGCTGATTTGTTTTAAATAGCTTTTAATCGATGATACAGTGGCATGTTATCCGTTTATTCCTGTTATTTGTTTGTATTGTGTTTATGTTTAAGCTATGTACAGCACATTGGTCTACAGTTGTTGTTTTAAATAGTGCTTTATAAATAAAGGGACATTGACATTGTTTCTATAGCTCATTTTGAGGATTATCTTTAATAATCAAGCGTAGCGTCAGTTCTGGCAGGTCACGTTAGTCAAGCTCGCATCAGTGACTCTCAGCTGATCCTCTACTATAGGAATACGACTCTATCACTGTATTCATATATAACTCCTTCAGTATTATCAGCTGATCCTCTACTATAGGAATACGACTCTATCACTGTATTCATATATCACTCCTTCAGTATTATCAGCTGATCCTCTACTATAGGAATACGACTCTATCACTGTATTCATATATAACTCCTTCAGTATTATCAGCTGATCCTCTACTAGGAATACGACTCTATCACTGTATTCATATATAACTCCTTCAGTATTATCAGCTGATCCTCTACTATAGGAATACGACTCTATCACTGTATTCATATATCACTCCTTCAGTATTATCAGCTGATCCTCTACTATAGGAATACGACTCTATCACTGTATTCATATATAACTCCTTCAGTATTATCAGCTGATCCTCTACTATAGGAATACGACTCTATCACTGTATTCATATATCACTCCTTCAGTATTATCAGCTGATCCTCTACTATAGGAATACGACTCTATCACTGTATTCATATATCACTCCTTCAGTATTATCAGCTGATCCTCTACTATAGGAATACAACTCTATCACTGTATTCATATATCACTCCTTCAGTATTATCAGCTGATCCTCTACTATAGGAATACGACTCTATCACTGTATTCATATATAACTCCTTCAGTATTATCAGCTGATCCTCTACTATAGGAATACGACTCTATCACTGTATTCATATATCACTCCTTCAGTATTATCAGCTGATCCTCTACTATAGGAATACGACTCTATCACTGTATTCATATATCACTCCTTCAGTATTATCAGCTGATCCTCTACTATAGGAATACAACTCTATCACTGTATTCATATATCACTCCTTCAGTATTATCAGCTGATCCTCTACTATAGGAATACGACTCTATCACTGTATTCATATATAACTCCTTCAGTATTATCAGCTGATCCTCTACTATAGGAATACGACTCTATCACTGTATTCATATATCACTCCTTCAGTATTATCAGCAGCGATCGCGTTTCTCAGGAGCGATTACCCTCCTCCCTCCCAAGCTCCTCCTGTCTCAGTCAGGATTCGGCTTTCTGTTTCCCCTCGAATTATGTTGTACATTAAAATATTGACATTAATGATATCTGCAATACATTCTTGTTGGTTCTGTTCTGTTTACCCTAAGCGGGGTTATTGCTCTTATTCATGCTAGACTGCCCAGAACAGAACCACACCGCCAATCCTAACCGTATGCTAACTGTCAATCATATTTGACGATAGTGGTCCTGACTGAAATGAAGTCGATTGATTCCCTTTCTGACCTTTGAACGAGCTGATCAGCCAAGTAGAATTTGCCATCGAGTAGAAGCTGAATGTCCACCACCTGCTGCCTCAGTAGATTCTCACACTCCAGGAGATAGCCGGCGATCTCGGCTTCGTTCTGGAACTGGATTCCTGATTCCAAGCGCTTCGCATCCTGGAGGAGATATTCATTTCCTTTCAGTTTCCCATTGTAAGAAAGTCATAAAAGACAAAACTTTTGCCACTGCAAAATTTCCAATAATTATTTGTTTTAATATTATTTAAAAAAAAAAAAATTATGGAACATTTCTGATTATTATTATCAATGTTGAAATGCTTTTGCTGCTTAACATTTTTGTGGAAACAATGATACCATTCAAACATTTGTGGAGAAATTAATACTTTTATTCATCAAGGATGCATTAAATTGATCTAAAGTGACAGTGAAGACATTATAATGCTACAAAATTATGTCTATTTAATACATGTTTTAATAAATGCAAATAAATGTTGTTCATTGAACTTTCTATTCATCAAAGAATCCTGAAGGGGAAAAAAATCATCATGCTTTCCACAAAAATATGAAGCAACAGAAATGTTTCAAATCATCATATTAGAGTGATTTCTGAAGGATCATGTGAATCTGAAGACTGGAGTAATAATGCTGAAAATTCAGCTTTAATCACAGGAATAAATTACACTTAACAACATATTCACATAGAAAACGGCTATTTTAATTTGTAATAATATTTTATAATATTACTGTTTGTACTTGTGTTTTGATTCAGCCTTGGTGAGCAGAAGAGACTCCATTAATGTACATTAAAAAATGATAATGTCTCCAAACTTTTAACAGGTTTTGTATGTTATATATTACAGTTGTTTAAAATGATATTGCCCAGCCCTGTAGTGCAACACAGATTAGTTTTATTGTATGCACAGATATGACTGTCACACCTGTGCAATCGAAAAACATAACATCTAAACATCCTTAAATAATAAATATAAATTCACTTAAGGAAAGTAAAATTGTTTAACATATAAACATTTTAATTTTCGGCCTAATTACAGGTATTTGATCATTAATGTCAATCAAGACACTTAAATTTATGCATTTAGGAAATCCCCAGCGACTCACAAAAGACAAAGAAAAACAGTTCTCCAATATTAATAATATACTGCTAAGCGCCTGAACTCACCGACTGAAGAGCCGTCCTTGCGAGCGCTAGTTTGTCCTCTCCGGCTATGCAGTCTCGCTGAACTCTGTTTGCAATCTGCTGGAGCATCTCAAGCCTATGAACAGAAGAAGACAGATACAGTCAAACACCAGGTTGTGCACTGAATGTCCTCTCCCTGAGGCGCGTGTCCCGCTCACCTGGGCCCATACACACAGCTGTTATTGAGGTAAAGCGGGGTGCTGGACAGAGGCTCGTGTGCTCCCGACAGCAGGTTTTCAGCAGAGCCCAGGCTGGTTAAAGTGCTGTCACTCACTGATGAGGTGCTACTGCCGTACACCAGGCTGCTGTGCATCATAACAGACTAACTATGTGTGTATCCGGCCCAGAGAACAGCGTTTCCCAGCCCTCCGTCAGAAGCAGACGCCCCACCTGCCATCTAAAGCCCTTCTAACAGCGCACGCTTCCAGTCGCTGCTACTTATAGGCTCGTCCCGCTGTTATAAGAGCCAGCCCACACTAACATCAGCCCCGGGTCAATGTAAGACAGATGATCCCGCACAGGTTCAGACTGTGAGAGACGTGTGTGTGCCACACTAGACACCACATGCCTTCACTCATTGCAATCATTTAACCATTTATGGCTGTTGTTATATAATCACGTATAAATAAAAGCGATAATAAATAGTGATTTCCATTTATTTCCAGGTGATTTCCAACACCATGTTTTCACATAAATATTATGAGTACACAGTCATACAGTGTGACTGTCATATCTGTGCATTAAACAAAACTAATCTCTGGTGCACAACAGGGCTGGGCAATATAATTTAAAGAAATATATAACATACAGTAGCTGTCAAAAGTTTGGTAACAACTTTCACAACTTTGTCTGCTCACCTAGGCTATGTTTATTTAATCCAAAAAAATTATATTGTGAAATATTATTACAATTTTAGTGTTTTTTTATGTGAATATATTTTAATATGTAATTTATTCCTGTGATCAAAGCTGAATTTTCAGCATCATTACTTCAGTCTTCAGTGTCACATGATCCTTCAGAAATCATCTGATGCTCAAGAAACATTTCTGATTATTATTATCAATGTTGAATTTTTTTTTTTTGCTGTTTAAATATACCATTCAAACATTTGTGTTAAGATTAAAAAAGAGAGAGAAATTATTATTCAATTATTCATCAAGGATGGATTAAATTGATCAAAAGTGACAGTAAAAACATTTATGATGTTACAAAAGATTTTATATTTAATAAATGCTTTTTATTGAAATTTCTAATTATCAAAGAATCCTAAGTGGAGGGGGGAAATGTATCACGGTTTCCACAAAAATCTGATGTTTTCAACATTGATAATAATAATGAATGTTTTTTGAGCATCAAATCATATATTAGAGTGATTTCTGAAGGATCATGTGACACTGAAGACTGGAGTAATGATGCTGAACATTCAGCTTTGATCACAGGAATAAATGATATTTTACTATATATTCACATAGAAAAAAAGCTTTTTTAATTTGTAATAATATTTTACAATATTACTGTTTTTATTGTGTTTTTGATCAAATAAACGCAGCCTTAAGTGAGCAGAAGAGACTTCTTTCAAAAACATTAAAAGCAAATAATTTCAGTACATTCTTTGACAATTTACATAAGAATGGATTTATGAATGACTGACACAGACAATCATTCTGCTGATGTTTTATGACTAAGGCCCAGAGGCGGACAGAGTACACAGCTTCATTACTTGAGTAAAAGTACAGATAGCCCTTGCTAAATTTTACTCAAGTACAAGTAAAAGTACTACAGTCAGATGTCTACTTAAGTAAAAGTACTGAAGCACTTGTTTTTAAAAGTACTTGATTATCAAGAGTACATTTTCTAAATATTGCATTACTACTGCCACAGTGCTTACATTTATGTACAGAAACGTCCTACATGGAGTTATGAAAAATGTAATGTTAATACCTTGGAGAATGTAAAAGGAATTTAAAAAGTAAAATCAAGTAATTTTCATCTTTTTACCATGTTGCTTGATTTAACATTTCTCACTTGCCCACAAGGCAGTAGCACACTGGCAACGCTCTGACAAACCTCTGCTAGAGTTTTAATGGATTTTTTGCACCCACATTTGAACCTGACTGTGTTAAACACACCGCACACTCAAGAACATCAAAGCAAATGCTCGGCTTACATTAATGTGTAATATCAGAAAAGAAAATTCAGCTAACAATTGTGTGTACATGTGAGTTTCTCTGTTTTTTCATCAATCAAATCAATAAACAGGTTGGCACATTTCCGGGATGGACCTGCTGCGTCTTCATCCATTGTTTCGTCCATGGTTTCGTCTCTTATCTAAATCTGACCATGGAGTTGAGTTTGGCGGAAAGCTGAAGGTGATTGCTGATAGGCTGTTCCAATCAGTGGCGCCTGCACAATCCAATCACGTTTGAGAGGGAAACAACAAATTGAGGGTTTCCGAGATTTTTCTTTTTTCCTTTTTTTTTTTTTTTTTAGAAGAAGAAGAAGTAACGGGTACTCACGGTTATGGATAGAAATGTAGCGGAGTAAGGAGTACAATATTTGCCTCTCAAATGTACGTGAGTAAAGTCTTGAGTACTTCCCAAAAATGATACTCAAGTAAAGTACAGATCCCTCAAAATTGTACATAAGTACTGTACTCAAGTAAATGTACTCCGTTACTGTCCGGCTCTGATAAGGGGCGGGACATCTGTGTCTGTGACCAGTGGGAGTGGGAGAACAGTCATTCAGGAGACTGACTAATAGCAAGCTGGACTACAATATATGAAGAATGCCATCATTGGCATTCAATGGCAGTTGCTTGGCTGCACTGCTGGGCCCACCACTTATGAAATCTGACATCTTTGCTTATGGCAGCTTTTTAAAATTTCCATATAAGTCTAACAGGGACATGCACATGCCCAACCTTGATCCCTTGACTTAAATGTGTCACTTTGCATTATGTTGAGATATTTTAGTGGACACTTTTAATCAAAAGACTTGCAATTTTGCAACTGAAAAAAAAAAAAAAAAACATTGCGGGCTTGCGAAATCGGCAAAAGTGTGCATCGAGGGCGTATTTCGACCGCAAAGGGGACGCTCACTGAAATCCACAAGTGCACATGAAAGCTGTGTCCCAGTTCAGATGCATCCTTCGAAGGCCATGAAGGTCAGACTGAGCGTTGTAAAATGTGTTGGTATAGCCTACAGGTAGACGAGCCGTTGACGAGCGGCGGTAACGTTTGTACTGCACTTTTTTGAAAGTTATATTAAACTGTCTGAAAACAAAACAGGGATCACAACCTGTTTAAATATGTTCACCGTGGTCCAATTCTACATAATTAAGAGTATAAACTATATAAAATCATATCTTAGTAAGAGAAGAGTCAACATTTGAACCGCTTTAAAGTTTTTACATTTGAATCATTAGATATTAGAGTTAGTTGAAACCCAATACTTGCATTTAAAAGAGAAAATTGATCTCGTCAAAATCCTGTCAAAAGGAATTCGAGGGTACAGTAGGCAGGGAAGGATGCATCTGTTGTATCCTTTATTTCACGGGAAAGAAAGGAGGAGCCTTTGAAATGGGACAGCCTTCATCGCGCCGCTGTGACTCAATCGGCCTTCGAAGGACGCGCGAGACGGAGAAGAACGTGGAAAATGAAGTATAACCAGGCCTAAACGTCTTGAGGAAACTTAACAGCCAAATAAAAAGCTCATTCAAAATCATTGACTGATTATTTAACATGTTGCTTAAAGGAGAACTCCGGCGCAAAATGACTAGTTTGCATTATGACTAGTCGAGACTGTTTTCCAAAGTTTTTTCCAATGTTTTATTAGACCAAAGGTTCATTTTGCGCCGGAGTTCTCCTTTAAAGGGGCTATGTGTAGGTTTTTACTTAAAGAAATCTTTAAGATAGAGGGCCCTATCTTGCAAACTTTCCCTCATGCTATTTTGCAGTTCCAGAAAACAATTCCGCCACTGACCAGAAAAAGCCTAGTCTAAAGTCAGTGGCGCGTTGCGCGTTGTTCATAATGCTATTTTAAGCGCGCATGCTTGGCCATAATGTAGCGGTGCACAACGCGCATACACTTTGATTCTCTCATCAACACAGATGCAGCTGTTTTTATTTTTGCAAATCATGAATTATAACAAGGAAAAATATTAACACATGAGGGAAATCATTGTGGTGTCCATGAAGATGTAAAAAAAAATGTAGGCCTAAATCTAGCTTACACATTTACCCAAATTTTTCAGGCTAATTGTAGTAATGACGGATCACTCCTGTTTGCCCAATAGTGGCAAGACACATATATATATAAGGACATCGGACAAATTAGTTTGTCCGTCAAGAACCAGAAAAAAAAAACTCCCATCCCCATACAACGCCACTTCTCTGTCTTTCACGGTCCTGACAAGAACGCCGGTCTCCTCAGCTGTGAACCGCTCCTGACGCGCGCCTGGTAAATCCGCCGTTATAATAGCAATCCGCCATGCAACATGCGCACCTGCTCTTAAAGGGTATGTTGGATGACGCTCTGATTGGTTTATTTCACGTTACGCCCAAACCACACCTATGAATAATGAAGCTACTTCAGACCAACCCCTTTTAAACTTGCGTCGGGCGCAAGTAGGGTTGCCAACCGTTCCGTATAATACGGAATCGTTCCGTATTTGACACATAAAAGGCTTGTTCCGTATTGAACTGATACGGAACGCACTTTGTTCCGTATTTTTGAGAATCAATTCAGTGCAAATCCATGACAGACGCATAGCTTCTAATATATATGTCAGACAGACTATGATGAATGCACGAAGACCCGCTGCTATAATGGCAAATTTGGGGACTTGGCGCCACCTTGACGGGCTCTGACGTGTAATGACGTGGAGTTGGCTCATTGGTCGCACGTCAGAGGCGCCCGCGCCATTGGATGTGCAGTTGCCGCAGCGCAGCCTGAGCGAGCCAGACGCTCAATGTGCAAGCTGTGCAAATGCATTTTACAGGCTTCAGTAAATCGAGTAAAATGTGTTTCCGAAGACATTTGTAGGCTATGATAAGAAAAACTACTAAAAAAAATAAAATAAAAAAATTTGCACCGGAAAGAACATTCTAGAAGTCTAATTCTATTGAATAAGTTCACACAAGGCTACAGAAAACTGTTGTGTTTATTTTTCTTCAAATGCAGTCTAAGCCGATGAGTTTCGAATGTTATATGTTGTATTTGTTTAAGTTAAAAATAAAACGTATTATAATCTAAACAAATACATGGTTCATTTTTGGCAAAATGATCATGATAGCCTTTATATATCTGTGTGGTTAAGTCTTGTATATTGATTAAGCCTACTTTGCTATTCTATAAATATATAGGCCTAATAAGTTGCATTATAATATGATATAAAATGTATGAATTTCAGGGGGCATGTCACTACCACATACCAAGGCGTGAACAGGGTTATTTATGCGGCTGAACTTATTGCATATGCATTTGTAGGAGTTTCCCTTTCAGACGCAACATTTGTGGGAGGAGATTGAGTATTTAAATGAATCATGCAAGGTGATTTACTACGGTTTGCGCCATTATTTACCGCCCAAAAAAGCACATCTAAAGCCCTTTTGCGACTGTGTTGTTAATAGATTATCAGCAGCTCTGCTTGTTTTTAACGCTTTTATGGGATTTCGGTCTCACACTAATAAATCTGGCCCTTATTGTGTTTAAAAAAAACAATAATTAGGTTGAGAAGCAAAACTGTGTAATTATGTTAATATTGTTTTAGTTTTCCTTTCATTTTCCCTTCTTTTGTTTTGGAATTGCGCTCTCACGCTAATTTGCCCTGTTTAGTAAATCTGCCCCTTAAGAAATTAAAATATCCCTTTTTAAAGAAAGGAGTCACAAATCACAAAAGAGACCCTTATAAATGAATAAACAGTACAACACCTTTCTAAAAACGTTCTAAGAAAAATCTCTCAAATGTCAAAATTTGTATTGTTGCTATATTGATATGATAAAAATGATTAAAAACGTCAAGTAGATTGTAAGTGAATTCCTCAGTGGAATGCATGTCATCCACGCCCATGTTCTTTCATTAAGAAATAGCGATGGAGAGATAGCGTGTGTAAATCATACCTGTCCACTTCAGGCCTCAGGCTCTTCTCTCTCTCCAGCATGGCCACGATCAGCTTGCCCCATTCCTTCTCCACGTCATTAGGATGGAAACCTTGAGGGAGCTGGATGCGGCCGAACTCCATCCACACCTAAACACACAGCAGAGATTAAGACATCTGTCAAGGACTGTAAATGTACACGAAATATGAAAGATACAAACCTCTAGCATTTTGTAGAGATGCTTGATTTTGGCCTTTTCATTCTCTTTCGGTGGGATTTCGTTCTCTTTAAACTGTTGATACTGAGTATAAAGTGCCTGTGAAGGTAAAAACAGTTAGATGAAACAAAGCGGTGTGATTTCAGAAGAAAAGACAAGTTACCCACTGGAGATGTGAGATATAGTACTGCAGAACACCTGAACTCGATGAGAAAGATGGAGCTGCTCCTCCAGTCTTTAACAGTTTCTAACACGAGTGGGACGCTACCTGTGAGCGAGGGCAGTCTGCCTCAGGCTCCATTACACTAAGCAATGTTTAATGAGTCTTAGCAGCTGCTGATCTCTGAAAATACATGTCTGATACATCTGACAAATGACTACTTCAAATTATGGAAGCTTGTTTCCGCCACTGAATAAAATAAATAAATAAATAATTGCGACTTTTTATCTCACAATTCTGACTTTTTTTCTCACAATTGCGAATTTACATCTCGCAATTCTGACTTTATAACACATAATTGCGAGTTTATAGCCTATCTCGAAATTCTGACATCTTTTCTCAGAATTGTGAGATATAAAATCGCAATTGCGTGATAAATTCAGAATTGCGAGATATAAAGTCGCAATTGCGTGATATAAAGTCAGAATTGCGTGATATAAAGTCAGAATTGCGTGATATAAAGTCACAATTGCGTGTTGTAAAGTCAGAATTGCGTGATATAAAGTCGCAATTGCGTGATAAAGTCAGAATTGCGAGATATAAAGTCGCAATTGCGTGATATAAAGTCGCAATTGCGTGATATAAAGTAAGAATTGCGTGATATAAAGTCGCAATTGCGTGTTGTAAAGTCAGAATTGTGAGATATAAACACAATTCACAACTCACAATTCTGACTTTATAACACGCAATTCTGACTTTATATCACGCAATTCTGACTTTATATCTTGCAATTCTGTCTTTATAACACGCAATTGCTACTTTATATCACGCAATTCTGACTTTACAACACGCAATTGCGACTTTATATCACGCAATTCTGACTTTATATCACGCAATTCTGACTTTATAACACGCAATTGCGACTTTGTCTCGCAATTCTGACTTTATATCTCGCAATTCTGACTTTATAACACGCAATTGTGACTTTATATCTCGCAATTCTGACTTTATAACACGCAATTGCGACTTTATAACACGCAATTGCGACTTTATATCTCGCAATTCTGACTTTATATCACGCAATTCTGACTTTATAACACGCAATTGCGACTTTATATCACGCAATTCTGACTTTATATCTCGCAATTCTGACTTTATATCTCGCAATTCTGACTTTATAACACGCAATTGCGACTCTATATCTCGCAATTCTGACTTTATATCACGCAATTCTGACTTTACAACACGCAATTGCGCCTTTATATCACGCAATTCTGACTTTATATCACGCAATTCTGACTTTATAACACGCAATTGCGACTTTATGTCTCGCAATTCTGACTTTATATCTCGCAATTCTGACTTTATAACACGCAATTGCGACTTTATATCTTGCAATTCTGACTTTATATCTCGCAATTCTGACTTTATAACACGCAATTGCGACTTTATATCTCACAATTCTGACTTTATATCACGCAATTCTGACTTTATAACACGCAATTGCGACTTTATATCTCGCAATTCTGACTTTATATCTCGCAATTCTGACTTTATATCTCGCAAATCTGACTTTATAACACGCAATTGCGACTTTATATCTCGCAATTCTGACTTTATATCACGCAATTCTGACTTTACAACACGCAATTGCGACTTTATATCACGCAATTGCGACTTTATATCACGCAATTCTGACTTTATAACACGCAATTGCGACTTTATGTCTCGCAATTCTGACTTTATATCTCGCAATTCTGACTTTATAACACGCAATTGCGACTTTATATCTCGCAATTCTGACTTTATATCTCGCAATTCTGACTTTATAACACGCAATTGCGACTTTATATCTCGCAATTCTGACTTTATATCACGCAATTCTGACTTTATAACACGCAATTGCGACTTTATATCTCGCAATTCTGACTTTATATCAATCAATTGTGACTTTATATCACGCAATTCTGACTTTATAACACGCAATTGCGACTTTATATCTCGCAATTCTGACTTTATATCACGCAATTCTGACTTTATAACACGCAATTGCGACTTTATATCACGCAATTCCGACTTTATATCACGCAATTCCGACTTTATAACACGCAATTGCGACTTTATATCTCGCAATTCTGACTTTATATCACGCAATTCTGACTTTATAACACGCAATTGCGACTTTATATCTCGCAATTCTGACTTTATATCTCGCAATTCTGACTTTATATCATGCAATTCTGACTTTATATCACGCAATTCTGACTTTATATCTCGCAATTCTGACTTTATATCACGCAATTCCGACTTTATATCTCGCAATTCTGACTTTATATCTCGCAATTCTGACTTTATATCACGCAATTCTGACTTTATAACACGCAATTGCGACTTTATATCACGCAATTCCGACTTTATATCACGCAATTCTGACTTTATATCACGCAATTCTGACTTTATAACACGCAATTGCGACTTTATATCTCGCAATTCTGACTTTATTTCTCGCAATTCTGACTTTATATCATGCAATTCTGACTTTATATCACGCAATTCTGACTTTATATCACGCAATTCTGACTTTATATCACGCAATTCCGACTTTATATCTCGCAATTCTGACTTTATATCTCGCAATTCTGACTTTATTTCTCAGTCAGAACTGTAAACTCGCAATTGTGAGAAAAAAAGTCAGAATTGTGAGATAAAAAGTCGCAATTACCTTTTTTATTTTTCATTCTGTGGCGGAAACAAGCTTCCATATCAAATATATCTGATATTTCATAAATCAAAATGTAATATCAGCCTAGGAATGCTTTCCCACAAAACTGCCCCTCACGTCTCTCCAAACCTGTATATTTCTCGTTTCCAAATAATAATAATAAAAAAAGAAATAGGACATTATATTTTGCATAAAGAAAAGCAGGTCTGTTTTAAGGACGAATATGATTTATTTTTTATTTTATTTTTTGCATCTTGGCATTATTTTCATGGTAAATATCATGAAAAAGAACTAGTCATTCAGATATTGAAGCTCATTTTCCGCCACACAGGGGAAAAAAAAAATCATGCTCTGGTAAATAGTAATTATGAGATGAAATGTCAGATTATGCCATACTGAGATAAAAATGGAAAGTATGACATTAAGAGTCAACATGTTGACACACTACATCATAATTTTGAAATACAAATGTGGTAATTATGACATACTAAGTTGTAATTATGACATACCAGGTCAAAATTCTTCTAAAAAAAAGTTGACTATGACACAAAAAGTCAAAATTATGACACACTGACTCATAATTATGATATACTAAGTCAAATTTTGACGTGTCATAATTGACAGTCAAAATTACCAGATAAAGTCGACATTATGACCTGCTGTGTCATAAATATCACATAAAAAGTGGAAATTATGACATAAGAAGTCATAATTGAGACATACTACATTATAATTATAAGATATTATGGCATGCTAAGTTATAATTGTCACCAGGGTTGGGAAAAGTTACTTTTAAATGTAATGCGTTACAAATATTGTTACTCCTTAATAAAGTAACACAATATGAAAAGTCAAGACGTTCTATATCATTATTTCGATTTGTATGGCATAAATAAGATGTGCAAAAGCATGATTTTTTTTCTTATGTGATGGAAATGGGCTTTCATATTCAGGACACCCACAGAGTAGTCAGTTTTGAAAATATTGAAATTATTAAAGCATGATAAAATCGTGAGGCTTCTCACCTTAAGTTCCACAGGATTGCTGGGGAAATTTCTGTCTGCCATGACAGTCACGTTGTGTTTGATCCACTGGCTGAGGTACATCACCATGTTCTGGTACTCCACCCATTTAATATCCACATCCTGTTTCAGGAACAACATCGACCATCTTAGTCTTTTGATCCACTGCAATTCCATGAAATATGAACACAGCCATACTTCCAACACTATGAGGTTATAGTGTGTGTCACTTCTTGGCTTTCTAGAGAAATTTCCATCATATTGTGTTCATTTGCTCATTTATTTAAGAATAGCAAGCATGTTGGATTCAAGGTTAATGTGACTTAAATGGCATACTGGTTCTCTTCCTCAGACAGCATTATCCAATGCTCTGGGAATGACTCCAAAGATTCCTTAAAAGCTTCCAACTTAGTTTAATGTCATGCATAACAAGCCTCCAAGAAACATGGAATGCTTACATAATTAAAAAAATGTAGACAAAGTTTATTTGCATATACCGAGACAAATTCACCAGCCCACCCAGCTGGAAAACGATCTATAGTCCGGTAGCTTCTATTATCCTTGAGATATTTAATCCGCATGAGGATCCTCAGAGAAGAGTCTTTATGAGTTTCAATCACAGACAGGCGGCAATGACAAGATATGCTTTAATGTGCCGTCACACACAGACTGCTCACATTTAACCATCACTGAACACAGAAGAGCCATTTCAGGCTATTTGCATTTGTAGTGCTTTCAATTAAAACAAACCCTTCCGGAAAAAGAAGTGTGCTAAATTGTATTGACCGTGCACTTGTAGTGAACTTCAAATATTAAAAGTATATTTAAAAAACAGTACTTGCAGTTAATACCAATGAAACAAAAGGCCACTTAAGTGCGCTTAAAAAGTACACTTTCATATCTCTTTCTTAACACACTTAACTAGACTTTAAAAGTGCACTTTGTAAAATTAAATTATAGTTTGACTTTGAAGTGCATTGTTTTAATAATCTTTTGTCGTGCTTTAAAGATGTGTTGGCAAACATGTAACATACTTGATTATAATTATAATTAAACTGTAGTGTGTTATTCAATATTTCATTTAAAGTTAATATATTTTAAATGCACTAAATTGCAACTTCATTACAAATGTGTATTCGCAAATATTTGTCAATACATTCAGCAGCATTTTTGAAATTAAAGTTGTTCTTAAGTCCCACTTAATGGGTTTTAAATCACTCTAAAGTTCAGCTAATATACATTTAAGCTAGAATACTCTTTTAATTAACATGCAGCTAAGAGTCTAAAAAACATAATATTTTACATTCAGATTGCACTCTTTTATTTCCGTAATAAGTATGCTGAAGAGTACTATTTTTCACAAGGGTAGTTATGTTATAAATCTGTGATTGTACTTACATTTGCACTGATGCCCTCCATGCCTTCCGGTACTTTCGGGAAGACATCGTATAATGTTGAGACATAAGTAATGACCGACTTCTCATCCGGAGATGACACGTCAACATCTGCTCGAAAGAGGAAACATTTGCTTAGTTAGAATGCTACTTTATAAACCATTGGAACAGTTGTGCAACAAATGCTTGTAACCTTTCCTTTCAGAGCAATTCACTACAGACAAAACAGTTTACGGTTTCTATGAAGTGTTGAATTCGATGTTTACTCTGCTGAGGCCATTGAGTACTATTCTTAGATCCCAGTGTTGTTTTACAAGTGACCATGAAACCCAGTGAAACTGCAGGGTGAAATATCTGGCATTCAGACGCATGGCTCTGGAGACTCCTCAACACCTCAGAGCTGAACCAGTGATGGCTCACTTCAGTCGTTTGGTAGAGTTGTGTTAACTAGAAGCTCATTCTCACTCTAGGACATCTCTGGAGTTTCACACTTCACCAAAAGAAACAGAGATAGTTTTTGACCTCATTGTTTTGAAATGCTGGGTAACCCGTTTTCAGTGAGAAAACGTTGGCATAATAAGGATGATGGAAAATTGTTTTTTTAATGACAATACTGTCAAACCTGGCATGTGTGTTTTTAATATCATGTAATTATTTACATTTACATTCATGCATTTAGCAGACACTTTCTGTCAGGATTGTTTATGTTGTGTGTGCAAGCACATGGCCTGTTATGTGTTTGCATTGTTTTGTGTCTTTTACCACACCCCCTTGTTTCCTTGTTAGTCTTGATTATTTATCTGTGTCACCTGTGCCCTTGTGATTATGTTCCTCATTTAAGATCCTTGTGTTTGTTACTCAGTGCTTGTTCGTTGTATCCTGTATCCTGTCCTGTGAGCTGTATATTCCCGTGATCAGAGTTTGTATCCTGCCTGTTAGTTCTAGTCTCATGTTTTTGTCAAGTTTATTAGTCTAGTCTTGTCAATGTTCGTTTGCTCCCTCGTGGGTCTTTGTTTTCTGTCTGTTTAATAAATCCGTGTTTTATTTATTACTGTCTGCGTTTGGGTTCATATCCGCATACCGTGACACTTTCATCCAAAGTGGCATGCAATAGAAGTACATAAGCAAGCCGTCACAGTACTAAAAATATTAATAGTGTACAATTGTAGGTTTAATAGAAAGCCAGACTAGGAAACAAGCAAGATCCGTTCTCACACTACAGGAGTTTTAGGATGATTTGTCCCTGATTTTCCCCTCCTGACAATCTGAGAAAAAATCTTGTCCAGGACATTGGTCGGTTCTGATGTTCGTGTTTTTAGACATAATTACAAACTTTCATTAGGTTTTGCATTTGGATATATATTTAGTTGTGCTGTCAAACGATTAAAATATTTAATTGCGATTAATCGCATTAATGTCATAGTTAACTCGCGATTAATCGCACATTTTTATCTATTCTAAATGTCTCTTGATTTCTTTTTGTCCCATTATTTTTTCTCATTTTAATGCTCTTATCAACATGGAAAAGTGGATCGGCTTGCTTTGTGCAAATGTTTTTTATTGAAAACAACATTGGCATATACTGTGTTCAATTTCACACTAACATTCTCACTTGGAGCAAATAATCTCTCACACAATGTAACACTGTCCATCAATAAAAGGGTGAAAGAAATACTGACGAGGTCCTGATATTGACGAGGGGGCGGAGAATTCGCATCAGCTGTGTGTGTGTGTGTGTGTGTGTGTGTGTGTGTGTGTGTGTGTGTGTGTGTGTGCTTGGCCATCATTAAGTGGTGTTTCAGACTGGACGTGCTGCGATGATGATAGCTCAGTTCACAACGACAAAACACACAGATCGCTTTGGTCTCGTCAATGGAACCATTTGGCAACTTTTTAAAAGTAAACTTTCCATTCAGAATCGTATTGGCGTCCATTTCGGCGTCTCGCGCTCGTCATCCACTCAAAGCGTAACGTTAACCTACTATTTGGCCGGCTCGCAAGCCCAAACGAGTGTGTGCGGTGCCTGTTGTTGTTTCCGGTATAGCTGGATCCGCTCGCGCTTTGGTCGATGAAGCAACAAAACGTTGCGCACGTTAAAATGGGTTTGCGTTAACGCCGTTAATAACACGTTTAACTGACAGCCCTAATATTTAGAGATTATTAAAGACTAGTTTTTGCCAGTTTAATTGTTGTTGTTGTTGTTTTAAGTGTTGATTTGAGGTGTTAGTTTTTGCATCATGATTACAGTCAAACCAGAAGACAGTGGGTCTGTTTGGCACTCCTGATGTTTTAGAGTTTCACCCCTTCACTGCTGTGTACATTTTCTCTGCATTGTGGCTGATTTGTATATTTTTCATATTTCCTGGTTATATGGTGGTCACCACGAACAACACGACCATTCGTCTTTTTCAAATCAAGTCAACGATTGTTTTTTATCACATAGCAAGTGCCGTAAAAGTCACCAAGTTTTATACCATTCTGATGAAGTTACGATTGTATTTTTTTTTTTTTTTTTTTTTATGACCGAACAAAACCAGAGGGGTTTTAGACCCCAGTGTGTCCTGTGTTCTGTGTCAGGTCTTTTCCTTGTATGGCATTTTGTTTGGTGTTTTCAGTTCTGCTCCTGGTGTTCAGTTTTGGATCTTGTGTTCCCTGTTTTGACTCTTATTTTCATTAAATCTAACTCTGCATTTGGATCCAGCTCTCCTTCGTTTTTGAGTTTCGCCAATGTTACATTTACACATGAGAGCAGCCAATAAACGTCTTTAACAATGACTTATCAATGTATTATTTTACTTTTACAGAACCTACATTTTGTGTGTGTATGTGTGTGTGCAAGCAGCATTGTAATAAAAGTACCACAACTAAACGGTTCCATTGGTGACCTCAGCCCAAACATTAACATTTGACACCTTGGAGTCGGACAGTGTTGTAACTGGAGGGTGAGAATACACACTTGCTCCATCAGGTCAACATGTATTAGGACAGTAGAAACTCACCCTCTGGGTCCAGCAGTCGGGCCACACCAAGCTGCTCGGCCACACCAAACGCTTGCTCTAAGTTGGATCTGCTGCTTTGTGTTGAAACTCTGCTCATATCCACCAGATCAGGCCTGAATGAAGACAGAATCGTGACAATATGATCTTATTTCAAAATCTCTGCATGTCTGATATCTTTCAGTGACAGATATGTTTGGTATTACATTCCAAGATTTAGCTTTAATCAAAATTGTGTTTGATTGATGGTGACAGGCATTTTCAATTATGCAAATTGGCCCAGTGTCAAAAACTTCACATGTACAGTACTCACTCACAATCAAGAGACGTCATTCATTTGAAGGAGCATATAAGCAACAATTATATTTTGCATTAAGAAAATTAAGCTTATTTTAGGACCGCTACGAATCTTGGTCCCAAAATCTTGGTCTTCATATTCTTTAAGAAAAACAGGTTTTCTTCTTTTTGATTTTGGGGTGAAATATGACCCAGCTATGCTCTTGACAGGTTTCGTGAGATTCACTCATAAGGATTATTATCACTACCAAACCTTCCCTGACTGACAGGAATAGGGATGGCTAGAAATATCTTTGCACAAAGAAGTAATTATTCAGAATCTAGGTCATCTGTACATCTGTTAGGTAAAATGACATTTCATCAAACTATAAAGGGCAGATTATGACTATGAGGCACAACAGATCATTCCAAGAATAGAGATGAGAGATACACGTACTGTACAAGTGTAATAAACACCTCTCGTAACCTATTTTACATCCACAATGTAACATTTTTATTACAGAGTGAAACAGGATATTCAGTTTGAAGGAAGGCCAAGACTGTGGTTGTTACGGTACCAAAATTTCAGTAGTCGGTAACATACCAATACTACTCAAAGTTTGCGGTTCTCTGTACCAATTTTAGTACCAGAGCAAAAACTTTTGAATTATGTACTTTAAAAAAATGTTGTCCTGTTTGTCTCATCCCTTGGTTATCCCGATCAATCATAGTTTCTGATTTAATCACGCATTTGAATACTGTTGTCAATCCAGACACTTTGCAGCATTAAAAAAAACTCAACTAAACAGTATTCAGATTGTGAATAGGTAATGAACAGAAAGCCAGAGAAGAGCTTCCCTTTATAATCACTAAGGCTATCAATCTCTAAAGCGCAAGCTCACTGAATTGTGCATTCTCGCGAAAACTCCTATTATAATAAAAAAAGCTGTCTTAATTGTCAAGTCAAGTCAAGTCACCTTTATTTATATAGCGCTTTTTACAATACAGATTGTATCAAAGCGCTTCACAGTGATAACATGAAAACAATATAACAAAAACAATATAACAATATAACAAAGTTTGTTTCTAAAAGAAATTGCGTCAACGTCCACCTTAAGTAAGGCAGATCAATAATATTATTGAATATTAAATGTTAAATTGTACAATGAATCTCTTAGGCCACGTTCACACGGCAGCAGAACACACTGTATTTGAGTCCTTAAAGGATTAGTTCACCTCAAAATGAAAATTTCCTGATAATTTACCCCAATGCCATCCAAGATGTTCATGTCTTTCTTTCTTCAGTGAAAAATAAATAAAAAAATTTGAGGAAAACATTTCAGGATTTTTCTCCACACAATGGACTTCAACGGTAACCAAATTGTTGAAGTCCAAATCAATGCAGTTTCAAAGGGCTTTCGATCCCAGCTGAGGAATAGGGTCTTATCTAGCGAAACGATCGGTCATTTTCTAAAATAAAATAAAAATTGATATACTTTTTAACCACAATTGTTCGTCTTGTGCTGGTCTGCGACGCGCCAGGCATTACGTCATCACGCTGGAAAGGTCACGCTGGACGTAGGCGGAAGTATCGCCCCATTCGCTAGATAAGACCCTATTCCTCAGATGGGATCAAAAGCCCTTTGAAACTGCATTGATTTGGACTTCAACAATTTGGTTACCGTTGAAGTCCATTGTGTGGAGAAAAATCCTGAAATGTTTCCCTCAAAAAATTTTAATTTCTTTTCCACTGAAGAAAGAAAGACATGAACATCTTGGATAGCATTGGGGTGAGTAAATTATAAGGAAATTTTCATTTTGAGGTGTAGGGCTGTATTGTCCTAGTCGTTTAGTCGATTAATTGGTCGATACGTTCTGGTTCGACCAAAATTCTGATTGGTCGATTTTTTCCCCGCGTTCATTTTGCCCATAGACTGTAAAAAAAGGGTTTTGCCGCACTGAGGCGCGCTCATTTCATCAGGTGGAAAGCACTAACTGCTAATGGGGGTGTTTTCAGAGTACCCTTGTTTCACAGGTAACAGTCTGTCTTCAGAACACCCCCCTTGTTTTCACCTTTTTGGATTAGCCCAACCCAAGAGAGAACGATAAGTAGGCTATATAAGGTTTGATGCTGAATATTATTTATTTAATTGTGAGAGCGTTTAATAGTCAGTCCTCTTCTAACATGTCAACAACAAAGAAATCGACAGTGTGGCAGCATTTTGTTAAAATTGATAACAGGAAAAAGGTCAAATGCAAAGTGTGCAAGCAACCACACCTCGACGACAAACATGACATATCATCTAAAAGTGGTAAGCTCACTTGTCTGCGTTAGCTTGCCCTGTCTGTTTTGAATAGGCTATATGAACAAATCAGAATTTGCATATTTCAATGTTTTAGTGTGATAACCTAACTTTTTTATTTTTTGTTTGGAGCCTAATGCGCAATTGCGCTGTGCCGACTGTTTGTGTTAGTTTTGAGCCTAAGATGCTTTATTTTTCAGTTATGCACTTTATTTCGTTTCTGCTCTTGATCTGGTTTGTTTAATAAATATTTTTTTTTTTATTAAAGTGTGTTTATTAAGAGTAAAAGCTTTAAGTTTATAGTCTATCCGTGTCTCAGCCGCGAAGCTGATCTCTCCTATGTTCAGCCTGTGCGGGGACATGCACAGAGCGGCTGAAATGATAGTGTCTGACAGTTATAACATATGACAAAAATAATTGTCTAAATTATGTTGCATATTCCTCAACAGTTCTTGTGATGATCTCACTAGTTGACAAGACAACATAGTACTATCTTCGGAAATCATAGGCTATGATATTGCGCAGGTGCACGTGATGCAACGCTGTCAGAGCCGATAGACTTGTGTGTCAGACTCATTTCAGTGCAAAATAATTCGGCCAAAAACGATTTAATATACTGCAAACAGCCTACTAGTTTTTTAATGTTTATTTATAATTCATTTAGGTGGACAACAAGGCTACCAAGTACTGTGCGCAGCTAATTAATTTAACGGTTTTTTTTTCTAACGTCATTTTTAGTCGATTTTAGTCGATTTTTAGTCGAAAATGTCAGGACTTCAGTCGACCAAGATTTTCTTTGGTTGAATACAGCCCTATTGAGGTGAACTACTCCTTTAATACGGTTACGTTCACACACAGTATGGTTATTTACAGGAGTGACAACCACATTCTATAACCAAACTCACATCCGTAATTTCAGGACTCACCCCTGTTAGGAGATGAGGTTGTCAATCCCAAAAACTGACAGAGACTAGCATTATTTACAGTACATCGTGCAGCTCGCGTAAAATAAAAACAAAACCTTGTGCGTTTTCAGCAGTGTGTTAAATGGATTCTGACTAACTTGCTGACTAGCCATTGAATTCACGTGCTCAACAGATATAACTGTGATTGGCTACATTGCTCACCGCTAGTAAATAGAAACCTTTGACACTCAGAGAGCGCTCAAACAAACATGAACGAGAGCGTTTAAAAGCAGTGTCTATCAGCAGGTACTGAATACACACGGTACTTCGGTTCTACTGGTACTGCAGAAATGCTGGCAGAGTTTTATCCATCTGTAGCAGAGCAAGTTATTACATTTTTATGAAAGATTTGTTTTTCTATGGAATAACGTGAATCGATACACTATGAACAATTTGACAAAGAAGCTGGTAGATATTGATGTAATGTTGCCTTTTCTGCCAATGTGGACAGCTGACAGTGAGACACACCACTAGGGTTTAAAGCAGAGCCTCTGTGTTTAGTCAAATCCAAAGCGGGCTTTACATAGGTCACCAAAAACTGAAATTCTGTCATTTATTTACTCACCCTTTAAAACACGAAATCAGATGCAAACAGATAAAAAAGGCATGAGGCTCTGGAAATTGACATTACCTGTACTTATGAATAATAGCATTGAACAGTCGTCCATCCCTCCACGAGGTAGTGAAGTTGTCGCAGCGAACACCCACGTAGCCTTCGGTCATCTGCTTGGACCACAGCAGAAGCCTCTCCTTGGCTGTCATGTCCTCGGACTCTCCCGTCACATGGATGTCCGAGATCTGCAGGCAGGAAAGATGACATTTTCGTTAATATTGTTAAGAATCTGTGTTATAACAATGATATGGGGCCTCTTTTCAAACCCAGTCAGTCATATTCAGCAATCTGTAAAGAAATGGTCATTTTGTAACACAAAAGTCTCCCTGTAGTCAATAATTGTATCCCTTAAAACTCATCTTTGATCACCAAAATTGCACCAAAATGACATGTTTGAACTGGTTTTCCTTGAAAAGGAAATTTAGTCATAATTTGTAAGTCGCTTTGGATAAAAGCGTCTGCTAAATGAATACATGTAAATATAAATGTAAAAGAAATGTCTTCATGCCTTAAAATAGCTTGAATGTAACTCGACACCATTGCCTCATTTAGTATACGCGGTTCTATGAATATGCAAATGAGCCCCGCCTCCACTCACTCACTCAGCTCAGAGATCCACTGGTTGACGATCACACGTTGATCTGATTGGTTACAAGTTCGTTTGTGACGTCAGAAACACCAGCGATTTCACACCGTGATTTTGAGACAGCAGTTTTAAAAAGAAAATACTCATATAGATGCTACATATAAATAACATTAAAAGCTTGATTGTTACCACAGGGGGACTTTAAATGGTTTTAAAAACCATATAACAGAATTACACTTTTTTAAACTAATGTGCATGACTTCACATCTATGTGAATAATGTAGCCATAATGTAATTTCAATCTGATCTGCAAATAATCTAGCGAAAGGTGAGTTTAGAATTAAGAATAAATAAAGATGCATTTATCATGCACATACAGAGATTTTTGTGCACCTTTATGATTATGACCGTGAACACAAAGCATGGCAAGACTTCATCAGCGAAGAAGAATAGAGGGCAAAAACTAAAAGTGAATGACAGAGACAAACCTCAATATTCACCCTGAAAACCGTTTCCACAAAACCTGACCACAGAAAACTTCACAAAACCAACACCAAATAGAGATTTTACCTCAGACACCACTGCTAAAATGTGAAAAAGATGGAGTTAAGATCATAAAACATGGACCGTTAGAGCCTGAAGATGAACTTCATCATCATCTCTGATCAGTTTAATCACCTGACGTCAATATTATTGAGTGAGAAGCAGATTCCCTCCTTCAACATGTTCTGATAGACCACATTCAAAAGTTGTATTAATCTACTCTAGTAAGGTTAGAAGTTAAAATATTAAAATATTGCCTATTTCCAGGTGTTCACATTATTTTGCCCAACCCCTGCAGATTGTGTTATAGTACCATAAAAGAGCTGTGTTTGTTATCCTATCAATATAACATTAGCAAATGTCTGTAATTTGGCCTTTTCTTAATGTCTGTTTCTGCATTGAGGCTCAGCTGGTGCAAGTAGAAAGGCTGAATCGTGTGACATTTGATCAGTGATTCCCCAGCACAGGTTGGTTGATCTGTTTCTTCATTTAGATATATGTATAGTACTCTCCATGTAGGTGATAAATCATATTAAATGCATTTTCAATATAGCATTGCAAAACACTGATGGTGACTTATGAACAGAGACCATCTCACATGACCTCACGTTAAAAAGAAGGATTTTCAGCTCTAAAATCAAATGCCTGGAGCAAAAGTTAAGCCAACACCTACTGATTTAAGGAAACACATTATACCACAACAGCTTAACAATCATTTACAGATCGGTAAGTGTGTAATATGTCTATGTGCTGGCACTGAAGTAAACTCAAAGGAATCTGCCGGCCGGCCACAGTGTAATTATAGCTTGTAGGAAGAGGGCAGAGCACATGGTGTTTAGACTGTGGGTGTGGAAAGACTGAGCTATTAAACCAAGAACCAAACACACCAAAACATGCCAACTCTGACTAATCACTGCAGTGAATGATAATATTATGGAAACTCTGTGTCATTCATTAAAAAATGGCTAGTGTCTAGATTCTAGTATCTAGGATGAGAAACGTTTTGGAAAATGCTTGAAAACGCTAATGTGGACAGAGAGTGTTTTGTAATGAAAACTCAGTTTTCATATCTATCCGGATTAATGTAGATGTACCCTGAGAGTCGAATGTTCCAGGTTGACATCTAATAATTCTAGCAACGAAGACCTGGTGTGAATGCAGCTTACTGTATATCACAAATTAACAGTATGACATGCAATGGAAATTATTGTTTTAAAGGGTTAGTTCACCCCAAAATGAAAATTCTGTCAGTAATTACTCACCCTCAAAAGTTATTAAAGACATTGTTAAAATAGTCCGAGTGACTACAGTGGCTCAATCTTAAGTTTATCAAGCGACGAGAATACTTTTTGTGCGCAAAAAAAAATAAAAAAAATAACGACTTTATTGAACTATTCATTTTCTTCTCTGTGGGCCTCGAGTGAGTTCGCGTAGTGTAACAGCGCAGCGCTTCTGTGTTGTACGTCACACGTAGGCTCACTATTGGCCGACGCTGGTCATGTGTGTGTGATGTGTGTGACGTACAACACAGAAGCGCTGCGCTGTTACACTACGTGAACTCACTCGAGGCCCACAGAGAAGAAAATGAATAGTTGAATAAAGTCGTTATTTTTGTTAGTTTTTTTGCGCACAAAAATTATTCTTGTCGCTTGATGAACTTAAGATTGAGCCACTGTAGTTAATCGGACTATTTTAATGATGTCTTTAATAACTTTCTGGGCCGGCAAGTTTCAATCCCTTAGAAGCCTATGGAGGAGTGATCCAGCTCTAAGATTTAATAAAAAATATCTTAATTTGTGTTCCGAAGATGAACGAACGTCTTACGGGGTTGAACAACATGAGGGAGAGTAATTACTGGCAGAGTTTTCATTTTGGGGTGAACTATCCCTTTAGGAAACGTCATGTGCATCATGTCATTGCATCATCAATGGCATCTCAAATGTTGACCTCAAATATTACCTCCTGGTGTTTAGTAGAACCTAGTTTAAGATCTTGCTGGACAGTATCCAAAGAAGCCTGGGAAACTGAATCTCCCGAGCAAGTGTGGGCCCTCCTCCGCTTCCTGTGCACTTGAGTGTCCCATATAATTTTGGAGAACCCTTCCATGTTTCCATGTGTCTGGAGCATATGCTCCACCGCTCCAAAACTAGCCGCCCTCCCAAATTGTCTCCGCAAAAGTTTCTTTTCCACAAGCCTGTCCTTTGTGGTGATGCTTCCGGAGCTCTTGTTGACCCCGTGTAGATTATGGTCGGCATTGCGCCTGCTTTTGTCCTTATTTATCTGATAAGTACCTGGCTTTCTACCAGTTTTACCTCGGAGGACTGGGACTTCTCCAACATAGACCCCATGGCTGATACTGTGCTGCCTGGGCCTTGGAAACTCGTCTTGCTCTGAGTTCAATTTACACACCAGATTGAGAGAATTACCATCAGATGTGGCATAATCCAGGTCATCAGTCTTACAGCTTCCATGGCTTCTTAAAGAGTCAGTGGCATTAAAATCAGCTGATTTTCTCTTTTTCCTCCTTTGAAAGTATCGGCGTCCACTGAGCTGCTTTGGTGCGGGGCTGATCGGGGCTTTCGTGGGATCAACATAACACTCCTCCCTAGAGTCCCTAACGCATCCGCACATATTACCCATGGCGGTTGCTCATGCTAATACGGCTGCAAATTAAAAAAGCTTCACTCCAACCAGCCAGCTTTAAACAAGATCAGCAAGTTCAAGAGTTTCTTATCCCAGGAAGTACCAGCCATCGTTTCCCTAGCAAGTATTTAGGTAGGAAGGTGATGTCAGACAAATCAGCAGTAGTCCAATATCCAGAGAAGTACGGATGATGTGAATCCCTCTGAGACTCGGTGAAGGACCGAGACGCTCCAAACAAACTTCTGTTTCGTGTATCGCAAGTTCACCAGGCTCGCTGCACAGCCCGGCCCTTTCTTCTCATGCTGCCAACACACTGAAGACTCAGTGACCTTTGAAACTGCACCCTTTGCCCTGATCCTCCAGAACAAACACTATACAGATCGAGGCGACACAAACTAACGCAGTTCTAGGTAGCTCTCTGTCACAGCTGAGGAAACGTCACCGTCCTCATGTGATGTGTAAACACAGCCACCCCCAGAACCCTGCTGGTGTTTAGTTTCCAGAGGCTGAATGTCCTCAGAGAGAGAGAGAGAGAGAGAGAGAGAGAGAGAGAGAGAGAGAGAGAGAGAGAGAGAGAGAGAGAGAGAGAGAGAGAGAGAGAGAGAGAGAGAGAGAGAGAGAGAGAGAGAGAGAGAGAGAGCGAGAGAGAGAGAGAGAGAGAGAGAGAGAGAGAGAGAGAGAGAGAGAGAGAGAGAGAGAGAGAGAGAGAGAGAGAGAGAGAGACTCTCATCTGTTCCCTGATGGCTTCTGGGCCGTGTGTGAAACCTCTGCTCAGCATGTTGAGCCATTCAAATAGGACTTACCAGGTTGAGAGAATCATGGCCTGTCATGTGGCCTTTTAAAATAACAGGACAACGTGGCTGGATCTACAACATGGCAAACTGAGCTGCCCCACACAACAAAGCTCTCTATTTGCTCTTTAATCTAGCTCAAAACAAGAGCAAAGCATTGAAAAGGATCAAGTCCAACACTTAAAGCAAACAAACATAACCAGCAGTCATACACATGAAAGATGATAACTTATATTGGCTATATAAACTTGGTTGGGTATATATTATATAATCTCAGTTTTATAGTTATAAAATATAATTAGCTTACACAACAATTATTGAACAAACATTCATTTAAAGTTAATTAAGGGTGTTAGCTAAGGTAAAATCCCTTTTACTATTGTGTTAAATTGTTTTAGGGAACTTAAAACAAAATGTGCTGCTACTTTTGCCACATCTCACCACCATAACATCACACACACTTGAGGACGGATCCCTAGAAACTTCCTCAAAATTTATAGTAACCATGCAGCAACATGCTATAAACGGCTTTATAAATTAAGGGTGTTATAATACACAAAAAAGGAAAACAAGTCTCAAATGCACACGCATCTGACAAGAAGGAAAGTATACAGCGTATAGT